TGTTCATTGCAGCACTGTTTACAATAGCAAAGACCTGTAATCAACCCAAATGCCCATTGATAATAGACTGGATTGGAAAAATGTGGCACATATACACCATGGAATATTATGCAGCAATCAGAAATGATGAGTTCGTGTCGTTTGTAGGGACATGGATGAATCTGGAGAACATCATCCTCAGCAAACTGACACAAGAACAGAAAATGAAACACCGCATATTCTCACTCATAGGTGGGTGATGAAAAATGAGAACACATGGACACAGAAAGGGGAGTACTAAACACTGGGGTCTACTGGGGGGAAAAGGGGAGGGCCAGTGGGAGGGGGAGGTGGGGAGGGATAGCCTGGGGAGAAATGCCAAATGTGGGTGAAGGGGAGAAGAAAAGCAAAGCACACTGCCATGTGTGTACCTACGCAACTGTCTTGCATGCTCTGCTCATGTACCCCAAAACCTATAATCCAATAAAAAATTAAAAAAAAAAAAAAAGATACAAAACCAGAGGATGGATAAGAACTCAAAAACTAACTATCTGCTGCCTTCAGAAGACTCACCTAACACGTAAGAACTCACATAAAGTAAAGGGGTGGAAAAGGCAATTCATGCAAATGGACACCAACAACAAGTAGGAGTAACTATTCTTATATCAGACAAAACAAATTTTAAAGCAACAGCAGTTAAAAGAGACAAAAAGGGACATTATAAAATGGTAAAAGGCCTTGTCCAACAGGAAAATATCACAGTCTTAAACATATATGCACCTAATACTGGAGCTCCCAAATTTATAAAGCAATTACTAATAGACCTAATAAATGAGATAGACAGCAATACAATAATAGTGGGGAACTTCAGTACTCTACTGACAGGACTAGGCAGGTCATCAAGACAGAAAGTCAACAAAGAAACAGTAGATTTAAACTATACTTTGGAACAAATGGACTAAACAGATATATACAGAACATTTCATCTAACAACTGCAGAATACACCTTCTATTCAACAGCACATGGAACTTTCTCCAAGATAGACCATATAGACCATATGATAGGCCATAAAACAAGCTCAATACATTTAAGAAAACTGAAATTATATCAAGCACTGTCTCAGATCACAGTGGAATAAAACTGGAAATCAGCTCCAAAAGGAACCTTCAAAACCATGCAAATACATGGAAATTAAATAACTTGCTCCTGAATGAGAATTGGGTCAAAAAAAAAATCAAATGGAAATTAAAATATTCTTCAAACTGAATGACAATAATGATACAACCTATCAAAACCTTTGGGATACACAAAGGCAGTGCTAAGAGGAAAGTTCATAGCCTTAAGTGCCTACATCAAAAAGACTGAAAGTGCACAACCTGACATTCTAAGGTCACACCTCAAGGAACTAGAGAAACAAGAACAAATCAAACCCAAAACCAGCAGAAGAAAGGAAATTATAAAGATCAGAGCAGAAATAAATGAAATAGAAAAAAAAATACAAAAGATAAATGAAACAAAGGCTGGTTCTTTGAAAAGATAAATAAAATTGATACATCATTAGCAAGATTAACTAAAAAAAGAAGAGTGAAAATCCAAATAACCTTACTAAGAAATGAAACAGGAGATATTACAACTGACAACACTGAAATACAAAAGATCATTCATGGCTACTATGAACACATTTACACACATAAACTAGAAAACCTAGAAGAGATGGATAAATTCCTGGAAAAATACAACCCTCCTAGCTCAAATTAGGAAGAATTAGATACCCTTAATAGACAAATAACAAGCAGTGAGATTGAAATGGTAATTTAAAAATTACCAACAATAAAAACTCCAGGACCAAATGGATTCACAGCAGAATTCCACCAGACATTTGAAGTATTGGTACCAATTCTTTTGAGACAATTCCACAAGATAGAGAAATAAGGAACCTTAACTAATTCATTTTATGAAGCCAGCATCACCCTAATAACAAAACAAGGAAAGGACACAACCAAAAAAGAAAAGTATAGACCAATATCCTTGATGAACATCAGTGTTAAAATCCTTAACAAAATACTACTTAACTGAATCCAGCAACATATTAAAGAGATAATTCACCACGATCAAGTGGGTTTCATACCAGAAATGCAGGTTTAACACACACAAGTTAACAAATGTGATACACATGCGAGTTAGCAAATGTGATACACTACAAAATCAGAATTAGAAACAAAAATCACATGATCATCTCAATGTAGAAAAAGCATTTGACAAAATCCAGCATCCCTTTATGATTAAAACTGTTAGCAAAATCAGCATACAAGGGATATACTTTAATGTAATAAAATCCATCTATGACACAGTCAACATAATACTGAATGATGAAAAATTGAAGGCATTCTCTCTGAGAAGAGGAAAAAGACAAGGATGCTCACTCTCACCACTTCTCTTCAACATAGTACTTGAAGTCCTAGCCAAAGCAATCACACAAGAGAAATTTAAAAAGGGCATCCAAATTGTTTAAGAGGAAGTCAAACAGTCACTGTCAACTGACAATATGATGGTTTACCTTGAAAACCCTAAGGACTCCTCCAGAATGCTCCTAGAACTGACAAAAAAATTCAGCAAAGTTTCCAGATACAAGATTAATGTACAAAAATCAGTAGTTCTTCTGTACACCAACAGCGACCAAGCAGAAAATCAGATCAATAACTCAACCCCTTTTATTACAGCTACAAAAATTATAATAATAAAACACTTAGGAATATACCTAAACAAGGAGTTGAAAGACCTCTACAAGAAAACTACAAAACACTGCTGAAAGAAATTATAGATGACACAAACAAATGGAAACACATCCAATGCTCATGGATAGATAGAATCAATATTGTGAAAGTAACCATACTGCCAAAAGCAATCTACAAATTCAATGCAATCACCATCAAAATACCACCATCATTCTTCACAGAATTTGCAAAAAAAAATTCTGAAATTCATATGGAACCAAAAAAGAGCCCCCATAGCCAAAGCAAGACTAAGCAAAAATAACAGATCTGGAGGCATCACAATACCTGATTTCAAGCTATACTGTAAGGCCATAGTCACCAAAACAGTGTGGTACTGGTATAAAAAAAAGCACATAGACCAATGGAACAGAATAGAGAACCCAGAAATAAACCAAAATACTTATACCCAGCTGATCTTTGACAAATCAAGCAAAAACATGAAGTGGGGAAAAGACACCCTATTCAACAAATGGTACTGGGATAATTGGCTAGTCACATGTAGTAAGAATGAAACTGGATACTCATCTCTCACCTTATACAAAAATCAACTTAAGATGGATTAAGGACTTAAACCTAAGACCTGAAACTATTAAAATTCTAGAAGATAACATTGGAAAAAACCCTTCTAGACATTGGCTTAGGCAAGGATTTCATGACAAAGAATCTAAAATCAAATGCAATAAAAACAAAGATAAATAGCTGGGAGCTAATTAAACTCAAGGGATTTTGCACAGCAAAAGGAAGAGTCAGCAGGGTAAACAGACAACCCACAGAGTGGGAGAAAATCTATACATCTGACAAAGGACTAATATCCAGAACCTACAATAAACTCAAACAAATCAGTAAGAAAAAAACAATTCCATCAAAAAGTGGGCTTAGGACATGAATAAACAGTTTTCAAAAGAAGATATACAAATGGCCAACAAACATATGAAACAATGCTCAACATCACTAATGATCAGGGAAATGCAAATTGAAACCACAATGTGATACCACCTTAGTCTTGCAAGAATGGCCATAATAAAAAATAAAAATAAAAAAACAGTACATGTTGGCATGGATGCGGTGAACAGGGAATACTTCTATGCTGCTGGTGGGAATGTAAACTAGTACAACCACTATGGAAAACAGTGTGGAGATTCCTTAAAGAACTGAAAGTAGAACTACCATTTGATCCAGCAATCCCACTACTGGTTATCTACCCAGAGGAAAATAAGCCATTATTTGAAAAAGATACTTGCACACACATGTTTATAGCAGCACAATTCACAATAGCAAAATCACAGAACCAACCCAAATGCCCACCAATCAATGAGTGGATAAAGAAACTGTGATATATATAAATACACAATATGTGTATTTAAACATGCAGTTAATTCATTCCTTTTTATGGCTGTGTAGTATTCCATCATATATGTATACAAAAATATATAATCATATATATATGATGGAATGCCACATATATATATATAATGGAATACTACACAGCCATAAAAGGGAATGAGTTAACTGCATTTGCAGTGACCTGGATGAGATTGGAGACTATTATTTTAAGTGAGTAATTCAGGAATAGAAAACAAAACATTGTATGTTCTCAGTGATATATGAGAGCTCAGCTATGAGGATGCAAAGACATAAGAATAACACAATAAACTTTGGGGACTTAGAGGAAGAGTGGGAGGGGGGTGAGGGATAAAAGACTACAAATATGGTTCAGTGTATACTACTCGGGTGATGGGTGCACCAAAATCTCACAAATCACTACCAAAGAACTTACTCATATAACCAAATACCACCTGTACCTGAATAACTTATGGAAATAAATAAATAAATAAAGCCTATTAATGTTACAAAAAAAAAAAAGGACCAAAAGGTGACCATTTTAGCCACTGAAATGACCAGCTTATGACAGCTGGCTGAGATGTTTGGGAAGCAGGGAATGAGGGCCTTGATGGAATTGTTGGTAGCAGTTATTTCCCCAGCCAATGGAAGCCTCTCACTAGCCAGGGGAGAATGCAGTGCTCATTCCTCAGTATCTCTGCTTCAGGGTTCTGGAGCAGGAGTCTGCCTAAGGCAAAGATTGCTGAACTTTGGAGTCTGGGCTCTGCATTAACCAGTTAGCCGGGCAACGTGGCACAAATCATTTACCCCTCTGGGTCTCAAATTCCTCAAGCTGAATGGCTCCCAAAAGCCCTCCCACCTCTGACACTCCACATGTTTTGTCTGTGAAGCTAATTTAGTATTACCTTCTCGGGGGACAGTCCACATTTGGCTGCAACTTCCACGATACAAGATTCAGTGATCAGCCCTGCCTGAGGAAATCCAAACCCACGGAAAGCCGTGTTGGATGGAAGGTTGGTTCTGCATGCCCAACCCCGGCAGCGCAGGTTGGGAAACTTGTAAGCATTGTCCATTTTCAAGAGTCCCATTTCTGTCACCTGGAGAAACCCAGAGTTGATGCAGTAAGACCTTCTGAACCTGTTTTACCATCCTACAACCTCAGACCAAAACTAGGCTGGAAATGGCAGCCCTCTTTACATCCCACCAAACAAGCTAAAATATTCCCATGCCCCAATTAAACACATTTTTTTCTGTAAAATAATTTTTCAGTATTCAAATAAGTTTTCCTTTGAGAGCATTATTTTTTATTTTCATATTTTGGAGTTAATGCATTTTTTTTTTAAAGATTTCAAACATATACGAAAGCCTTTGATATGTTCACAGGCCCTGAGCACTGAGTTTATAGAATGTAATGAATATAATATCCTGGAAGACAGAAAAAATGTTCTGGCATTGGGTCTAATGTATTGGTTCTCAATGATGAGCAATCTTTTCCCTGCTCCTGGAAACATTTGACAATGTCTGAAGACATTTTTCGTTGTTAACATTTTGGTTGAGACTTTTTTTTTTAAGATGGAGTTTCGCTCTTGTTACCCAGGCTGGAGTGCAATGGCGCTATCTCAGCTCACTGCAACCTCTGCCTCCTGGGTTCAGGCAATTCTCCTGCCTCAGCCTCCTGAGTAGCTGGGATTACAGGCACACGCCACCATGTCCAGCTAATTTTTTTGTATTTTTAGTACAGACGGGGTTTCATCATGTTGACCAGGATGGTCTCAATCTTTTGACCTCATGATCCATCCGCCTCAGCCTCCCAAAGTGCTGGGATTACTGGCTTGAGCCACTGTGCCCGGCCGAGATATTTTTTTTTTTTTTTTTAATTGAAATAGAGTTTTGCTCTTGTCTAGGCTGGAGTGCAATGGAACAATCTCAGCTCACTGCAACCTTCGCCTCCTGGGTTCAAGTGATTCTCCTGCCTCAGCCTCCCAAGTAGCTGGGATTACAGGTGTGTGCCACTGTGCATGGCTAATTTTGTATTTAGAGTAGAAACGTGATTTCACCATGTTGGTCAGACTGGTCTCGAACTCCTGACCCCAAGCGATCCACCTGTCTCGGCCTCCCAAAGCGCTGGGATTACAAGCGTGAGCCACCATGCCCGGTCTGGTTGAAACATTTTTGTTTGGGTTTGGGCTGGACATGGTGGCTTACACCTGTGATCCCAGCATTTTGGGATGCCAAGGTGGGAGGACTGCTTGAGCCTAGTAGTTTGAGACCCGCTCTGGTAACATAGTGAGACCCCATCTCTACAAAATAATAATAATAATAAATTAGCCAGGCATGGTGGCATGTACCTGAAGTCCCAGTTATCTGGGAGGCTGAGGTGGGAGGATCGTTTGAGCCACTGCACTACAGCCTGGGCGACAGAGTAGGTCTCTGTGTCTCAAAAAATAAAAATAAAAACTAAAAAGACTAGGCTGGGCGCAATGGCTCACGCCTGTAATTCCAGCACTTTGGGAGGCCGAGGCGAGTGGATCACGAGGTCAAGAGATGGAGACTATCCTGGCCAACATGGTGAAACCCCGTCTCCACTAAAAATACAAAAAAATTAGCTGGGTGTGGTGGTGCGCGCCTGTAGTCCCAGCTATTCAGGAGGCTGAGGCAGGAGAATTGCTTGAATCCGGGAGGTGGAGGTTGCAGTGAGCCGAGGTCACGTCACTGCACTCCAGCCTGGAGCCTGGTGACGGAGTGAGACTCTGTCTCAAAATAAATAAATAAATAAATAAAAAATAAAAAGACTAGAGGGTGGTAATGCCACTGACACCTACAAAGTAGAGGCTAAATATGACACAATGAACAGGACAGTTCCCACTATAAAGAGCTACATACTCCAAAATATCAGTAGGGCGAAAGCTGAGAAAGCCTTCTCGTCTCATGTGTGCATCTGGGAAAAGAGCTCTAAGTATGAGAAGCCTGGGGGTACCAGACAGATACAACTCAGCCAACATCTCTGGGCTCACACTATGGGCACCAGGAAGTAACACATGGTATCCCTGCAATAATGGTCATTATGCCTTTATAATTAAATATTACTTAACTATTGGACATTTTCTGATTTAAATCATTTTATGTAACACTCTTTCAGGAACGTTAACTTGCTCCTTAAGACACTTACCAATAATGATTCATCCAGGGAGGTGCCTGCATTGTTATAATGCTCCATGTCCAGGGCCAAGATTCTGCCATCATTCATGAATCCAGCCTGGGGAAGAGAACCAACATCGGATGCTGGAACAGGGGACAAGTCTCTCTAAAGTTTGTCATTTGCAAACCCTCCAAGCAGGGGAAAAGCTTCCTGACACTGGGTTTGGCAGTGGTTTCTTGGCTCTATAACTAGCTTTGTGATCTTAGGCAAGCTATGTAACCACTCAGACTATCTGTGAAATGGAAGTAAATAAGGTAACACATAGAAAATTATAGGCAAGTGCCTAAAACAAAGCAAGTACTCTAAATATAATTAATATTAATATCATAAATAGTATTAATATCACCTATCCTCATACTACTCTCCATCACAAAACATTATTTTCTCATAGTTTTAGTCACATCATGACAATGGCTTTTGTCACTATAATCCAGTCCTCTCAACAAAGTCCCATGGTGGTGAAAGACATTTCTGCTTCAAGGTCCAGTTGTCACTTCTTCCCCCAGCACTTACGCAAACAAGCTCTTCATTGTTCTTCCAGATCGTTCCTCCTTCCAACTGGTCGCTTTCTTCCAAAACCCTCCAAGTCATGTTGCAGTTTTAGTCTTCATTGCATTTTGCCAAGATTTTCACTACTCCTGTTTTATTTTACACTATAATGGCTCTTGGACCCATCTCTTCTACAACTTACTGTCATATCTCAGACCCCAACTGCTTCACGTCTGAATGCATCAGCTGCCTGCCACTGGTTCACCAGCCTCCATCCTCTCTCCTCCCCAGACTATCCCGTTACCCTCCCCAAAGCACAGTTTAATATTATAGCACTGAGCCATTCTAGGATCCACTCTGTCTCACTCTTTCTTATAAGATCAAGTTTAAACTCCCCATTCTGGGACTCTAGGCCCCTCTCAGGCATCACCTAAACCTATCAATCCTATTTTTCACTACCCTCCAGAAAGGGCTCTGTGTTCTAATTCCCCTTCTTCCCTTACTCCTGCCTCTATCAAATATGCCATGTTCATTATACCTCTGTAGTTTTGCTCTTACTATTCCCATGCCTGGCATACCTTCTTTCTGTCTATGCATTCTTTTTTATTTTTTTGAGATAGAGTCTTGCTCTGTCACCCAGGCTGGAGTGCAGTGGCGCAATCTCAGCTCACTGAAACTTCTGCCTTCTGGGTTCAAGGGATTCTCCTGCCTCAGTCTCCCAAGTAGCCGGGATTACCGGCGCATGCTGCTAATTTTTTGTATTTTTAGTAAAGATGGGGTTTCACTGTGTTGCCCAGTCTGGTCACAAATTCCTCAGGTAATCCACTTGCCTCAGCCTCCCAAAGTGCTAGGAGTACAGGTGTGAGCCACTGCGCCCAGCCTCCATTCTTGAAGGCCTATATTTTACCTTCTCTAAGAAGATGGCTATATATGTTCCAACTCATATTCATCTCTCCATCTTTTAACCTGAGATTGTTATGTTTTTATAATGACTTCATATATGTCTTATTTAAAAGCTCTTTCTGGATAAAGTTTACTCTAACAAATCTTTTTGAACTAAATCAAATTCAAAATACAGTTTAGAGTGAGTGTGATTCAAAATGGAAACAGTCATTATCTCCTAAAAACCGTATTTAGTTATGCAGTTTTGTGATAGAGACAATGCTATGCATTTAACAAATCCCATTGTCTTTCATCCTGGGCACACAGGAGGATGACATTTCCCAGCCTCCCTTAGAGTTAGGTGACAGAGGTCTTGCCAATGACATCTGGATACAAGTGAGGTCCACAACTTACAGGTCCTGTGCCTAAAACCTAAACACCTACCACGTGACACTCCATGCTCTCTCTGTCTTCCCTGTCTGCTGCCTTCAGCAGAAGATCCCCTGGGAGACTCAGAATTTGTGGGCAGTGACAGCTGATGAAACTTTCTGTGATGATGACAATGTTCTGCATCTGCACTGTCCAGTATGGTCGACATTAACCACATGTGGTTACTGAGCACTTGAAATATAGCTAATACAACTAGAGAACTAAATTTTAATTGTATTTAATTTGGTTAATTTAAATTTAAATAGCCATGTGCTCCTAGTGACCACTATATTGGATGATGCAGTTCAAGAGCATAGTGGCACCAATAAATTAAAACAGCTCCAGTCCCTGAATGATTTTATAAAGCAGAATACTCCTCTTTTGTCCCCTCAATAATTATATTGAGCTGTTACTTGAGCAAGAAATGACATAATGAAAGTTTAAGAGCTTTTAGGTTTTTGTTAGAACAGCCCACTCTGACAAGTAAAATTTTTCTTATAAAGCAAAAGAATTGGCCAGGTGCAGTGGCTCACACCTGTAATCCCAACACTTTGGGAGGCTGAGGTAGGCGGATCACAAGGTCAGGAGATCGAGACCATCCTGGTCAACATGATGAAACCCCGTCTCTACTAAAAATACAAAAATTAGCTGGACGTGGTGTTGTGTACCTGTAGTCTCAGCTACTTGGGAGTCTGAGGCAGGAGAATCACTTGAACCTAGAAAGTGGAGGTTGCAGTGAGACAAGACTGTGCCACTGCACTCCATCCTGGTGACAGAGGGAGACTCTGTCTCAAATAAATAATAATAAAGCAAAAGAACCACTATTTTCTACTACAATTTTTTTTCTATGAATTTCTAGAACCCCATTTTACAAAAATATCCTTGATATATTATTGAAGAATGAGGAAATCATTTACAAATAATTGCAATTTCACATAAGACTACTGTTATGGGAATTATTCTATTTTTACTTATTTAATATGTGGGAATAAGTGCAGTAATCAAATCTACTTTAATGGATGTACAAACCCACGTTTTCTAGTTATTCACTCTGTACAGTCAATACCAGCTGGCACTAAGTGTTTTATTTCTGAAAATGACATTTTTGAGCAAACCAGAAAAGCCTCATTGAACCAGCTGGTAATCAAAAGCACAACGAATGGAAAGTTAAATAGATGCTCTGTTTGTTGATTTGCTCATTGTTACTTCCCGTTAGAGAGTAGCCAAAGGCTGCCCTGTGCACTGATAGGATGTTATATCTACAAGGTAAATCTTTCTTCCATGCCTTCTTATACTTACTTTGTACTTTCCAAGGTAAGGATGGCGGCCTCCAGTTATTAACATGTCTTCTCCTCGTTCCAGAACACAGCGAACTGCACGGCCATGTCTAAAACAGAAAAAAAGCAAGCGAGGTAAACTCTCTTACCTAGCAGGCATTATCTGGGGTTTATATAACTCATAGCAAGAGCCTGAGTATAGCTGAGTGGAGCTCACATGCATCACAGAACAACACAACTACTCCCATGACTAGTCTCTGCTGATCTCAGACATACACAGTGGCCTTTCCTCCTGTTAGGTCAGGGAACAACGCCAGGCATTTACAACTTGTGGGACAGAGGCTCTTGGGTGCCAGGGGCTCCAGGGCATTGCTTTGGGACATTTCCCATTGTAATAAAAACATTTATTAGAGGAAAATGATCCCACAGTCTTATTTTAGACTGGCCACAAATGGAAGAATGCAGGTGCTGCCTAACTACTAAGTGCTCCCTGGTAGGAGAGATCTGGAATCAAGGTCTTTTTGCTTCAGCAAACAAATTAAGCTTTCTGAGTGTGCCTGCTTCAGAGAAAATGTTCCATTAGAATGTTTTGAGATCCTCAAAGGAAAATGACAATATAAATTAATATAAGTAGAACAAAAGCAAAGTCTCAAGTCAATAGAATATACATATACACACATATACATATATACATACACACGCACACACACCCATATACATACACACATATGTGTATACACACACATGTATATATGTATATATGTGTACATATATATGTACGTGTACATATGTGTATGTGTATGTGTGTATATGTGTACATATATGTGTATGTGTGTATATGTGTACATATAGGTGTATATATGTATGTGTGTACATATATGTGTATATATGTATATGTATATATATGTGTATGGGGACCCCATTTTATAAAAATATCTTTGATACATTGGGGAATGTACATATATATATACATTTATGTATATGTATATAAATATATATGTATATGTGTGTATATGCATATGCGTATGTGTATATGTAGTTACATGGTTCAAAAGTCATACATATGACCTCAACATATATAGTTCAATCCAGCAGGTGCAAAGGACAAGTAACTCCCACCCATTCAGGACCTGTTTCTGTCTACTTTCTAGGTATCATGATATTTTTTTCTGTGGCTTTTATTATTTTCAGTAATTGATTTTTATTTTGGTTTCTATAGGACAATATAAGATGAGTTAATGTAATAAGCTGGCAGCTTGTGTGTTTGTATAGCATATGTGATATTAAATAATCTTGGCCCAGTTTCTTCCTCACTGATTCTGACAGTGAGAACTTTCAGCATGACTTCATTTTATTTTTAGCAGATTTTCTCCACTTACTTGTTTGCAGCAAATGCGGTGACGGCTGCAAGGGTTCCAGTCTTGAACACCTTCCCTCCAAACGCTCCACCAACACGCCTTACATGACACATGACCTTGTTAGCTGGGAGCTTCAAGGTTGAGGCAACTATGTCCTGTGAACAATAATCGTTCTGATTAATCTGATCCGTCTTCAGCAAGAACTTAATTGTGTGTCATTTTCACACCCATGACCTTAACAACAACAAAAAAACTGTCCTCTGAAATGGGAGTGTGACAGTCACTAGATGTTTTGATTCTTTAATGTTGTACATGATACCCACACCGGGTGGTTATGCTAAATAATGGGATAATGTCCAATAACCCTGGCACGCAGCTCCAACTGATCTCAACAGTACTTGGCTATAATAACATTGCCGAAACTAATTAGTAGTCTTTTCATTACCAGTGAGATATTTTTGTGCTCATACTTTTTTGTATTTTCCCCATGAATTACACCTAAATTATCCTATTCACCCTAATCCCTAAATATACGTTTCCTGTAGCCTTGGGATTTTGCAGTTTTCTAGGCCTCGTTCAACATGGGTCTTTTCCCTGCATTTTATTATCTCTACTGGACAATAAGCACTTCTCAGGCCAGTATGGTGGCTCACAACTATAATCCCGAGGCAGGTGGATCACCTGAGGTCAGGAGTTCAAGACCAGCCTGGCCAACATGGCAAAACCCCATCTCTATTAAAAATACAAAAATTAGCCAGATGTGGTGGTACATGCCTGTAATCCCAGCTACTTAGGAGACTGAGGCAGCAGAATCACTTGAACCTGGAAGGTAGAGGTTGCAGTGAGCTGAGATTGCACCACTATACTCCAGCCTGTATGACTAAGTGAGACTCTGTCTCAGGGAAAAAAAATCCCTTCTCACTTCTTGCTTGGATTGCTGCTAAAGTTTAAAGGTGACCAGTTGGTCTTTCCTGGATGCAGATTTCACTCTTTTCTGCCATCTTAGTGATTAGGGGTCATTTAATTTTAACAATGATTCTTACAGATAGGAAGCCTGAGATGGATAAGGTGATGGACCCAACAACCCATGGGGAGTGAAGAGCAAAGCAGGCCTGGAATGGAGTTCCCCTGAACCTCCTTAGAATCCCACCTTTTACAAGGCCTCATTCTCCACGGTCTCACATTCCTACTCCTCTGCTAACAGCACTGGCTCCTTATGACTAGAATCAAGACCTCTCTGCTTCATTTCCCTAACTCTCACCCTGATGCCTAAACCTAGCCTCCCTAAAGGCGCCCTCCATTCCAGCTGTGGTAGTCATTGTGCTATTCCTCCTTCTTTCCATGCACGCTGCCTGAGATACAGCACAGAGGCAACAAATGTTTGCAGAAGAGATGAGTAAATGAATGGATGTAATTTGATCTTGCTGCAGAGACCTCTCGTGTGCTACCATCTAGACAAACCTCACTCTCACTCTGAATCCAAACTTAAGATTTCTCTGTGGGACTTCCTGGATGATTCTAGCCCTTGGCAAACTCTCCTTTTTCCCAATTTCTCCACCCATGTAAATTTTGCTTTCACTGATTTAGCACCTGGTTGTATCCTTTTCAATATTGTTTCCTAACTGTTTCATGTGAGTTAGGCACCATAGGCTTTGGAGAGCACGTCTTCCTTTTTCTTCTTTTGTGTTCTTAATAGTTGTGCCAAGAGCTGAGGAAGAGAGCTGCTGATTCCATAACTGGTTTTAAAGCTACAATCCACAAACAAAAGGCCTCTACTTTAATAACACTGTTTTAAAAGCATTGAACTATGGCTATTAATACCCAAATCAATATGGCTATTAGTATTCAATATTTCTTCAGTTTCTGAAGAAATGATATTTTTTGTTTTGTTTTGTGTTTTGTTTCTTTTGTTTTAGAGACAGTGACTCACACTGTCTCCCAGGCTGGAGTGCAGTGGTGTAATCATAGCTCACTGAAGCCTTGAGCTCCTGGGTTCAAGTGATCTTTCCACCTCAACCACACAAATACACTTTTATCTCTAATTGCTTTTGATATATTTTACAGGTCAGAAATCATTTAGCCATAGTCATCTTCATAATGGCCCCATGTTACCTGTATATATTTGGGAAACTGTGTGGACACGTAGACATCCATTTCTTGATCCTCTCCTTTGGGTACCACAAGCATGCTTTGGGTTTCCATATAAAAATGTTCTTGACCTCCCATATGTATTTCACCTGTTACAGGAAAATACATGAAAGTCAAGAGATATTTAGAAAAAACAGGTAGTGTCCCCGAGCTGTTATCCCATTGTGCAGAAATTCCACTGACAGTGCTTCTGCTGGGGCAACAGGCTGCACAGTGAAATGTAACAAACAGCAACGTTTAGCTTTCAGTCTACTTACAGATTTGAAATAAAGTTCTGTAGGAGAATCTTTTGTGTCTGCTAATACCTAGGTCACAGCGTCCTAGAGAAAGGTGTATGATTTTCTAGAGCCAAAAGCAGAGGGGTTTTGATTTAGTAGGTCATAAGGAGCCAGCGCTGTTAGCAGAGGAGTAGGAACGTTAGAATGTAGAGGCTTACAGTTTGAGGACAAGTGGGGGTAGATATACTGCTCCCTGTCCCACTTGTTAAGTACAGATAACCCTGAACACTATTTATAAAACAAACATAAGAAGACTCTGAAAGGTGGAAAGAAGGCAGACCAGGTAGGGACTTCAGGACCCAAGGAAAGACACAGCATTGAGTTCAGTGGGCTTTGTTGTTGTTGTTGCTGTTTGCTTCAGATATCCCAGACTTAGTTTCATAGAAGCCAGCAATTTAAAAATACTGACAGGCAAAGACAAAAAAAAAAAAAAAAATCCTCAAGAAAAGCCTACTCACCCTAGTCAAAGGACCAGAAAAGGGGAAGACTAGAAAGACAAAAAACTTTTAGACAATAAGCACTCTACTCTTGGCAAACACCATGGAAAAAAACTGCAGCCCCACCCCTACTGTAAAGGTGGAGTAGGAAATCTATAGTTCCACCCTCGTCAGGCTGCAGTGAGGTATCCCAGCCTCTCTGTTGGTGCGGTGTCAGCAGATGCTACATGGGGAACCTGGACTTACAACCCCTACCTAGCAGTAACAAGGCATCACCCCTTCCTTCCGCATCAGCAAAAGGTTGAAGTAGTCTAGTAAAACAGAATATTCTAGCAAAATAGAATATTTAAATAAGATCCAAAGTCTCAACATAATATCTAAAATGTCCAGGATACAATCAAATATCACTCATACAAGGAACCAAGAAAATCCCAACTTCAACGAGAAAAGACAATCAACAGATGCCAACACTGAGATGATACAGATGTTGGAATTATCTAACAAGGATTTCAAAGCGGCTGTAATAAAAATACTTTAATAAGCAATTACACAAACCCTTGAAACAAATGAAAAAATCTGAAGACTTAGCAAAGAAATAGAAAGTATAAAAAGAAAAAACAAATAGAAATTTTAGAATTAAGACATATGAACAAAATTTTAAAAGCTCAAGGGATGGGCTCAGCAACAAAATAGGGAGAGCAGAGGAAATAATTCATATACAAGAATATAGAACAATAAAAATTGGCCAATCTGAAAAGTTGAAAAAAATAAACTGGAAAAAAAATAAACAGAGCCTCAGGAACCTATGTGGCTATAACAAAAGATCTAACATTTGTGCCACTGAGATCAAGTATTTGAAAAACAATGGCTAAAAATGTCTCCAAACTGGCAAAAGGCACAAATCTACAGATTCAAGAAGCTGAGTGATCCCAAATAGAATGAATTCGAAGAAAAACACATGCCAAGACACATCATAGTCAACCTTCAGAAAACTAAAGACAAAGATACCATGTTGAAAGCTATGAGAAAGAAACACTACTTTATCTATAGGAAAAAAGCATAGTGAAACTCTGTCTCTACTAAAAATACAAAAGTCAGCCAGGCGTGGTGGTGGGCACCTGTAATCCCAACTACTCGGGAGGCTTAGACAGGAGAATGGCTTGAACCTGGGAGGTGGAAGTTGAAGTGAGCTTATATCATGCCACTGCACTCTAGCCTGGATGACAGAGTGAGACTCCAACTCCGAAATAAAAAAGCACTTTCAAAGGCAGCAGATTTATCTTCAGGAACTGTGGAGGCCAGAAGAAGTGGTAAAAATTTTTCTATTGTGAAAATACCTGTCGACTCAGAGTTCTATATCCAGCAAAAATATCTTTCAACAATGAAAGGGAAATCAAGACATTTTCAGATGAAGGAAAACAAAGAGAGTTTGTTTTAAACAGATTTATCCTAAAATAATGGCAAAGGGAAGTTTTTGAAACAGACAGAAAGTAATTTTTTTTTAATAAAGAAATCTTGAAACATCAGTAAAGAAGAAAAAAAACAACAGAAAGAATAAAAATACCAGTAAATACAATAGCCTTTCTTTCTCTTCTTGGGTTTTCTTAATTGTGTCTGAAGCAAAATTATAACATTGTTTCATGTGATTCTGAATGTATGCAGAAGAAATAGTTAAACAGAATCAATTATATTATAAAGAGGAGAAGGATGTAAAGGGAGGCAGTTTCTTCACTTGACTTGAACTTGAAAAATGTTGATACCAGACTGTGATATTTTATACTTTATGCATATAAATTTTATTTTTTACATGTATGTATGTGTGTGTGCATGCACGTGTGTGTGTGTGTGTGTGTGTGTAAACTAGAGCTACCACTAAAAAACATCTGTACAAGGAGATATACTAATAAACACTATAGATGAATCAAAATAAAATTCTAAACAAATATTCAGGCAACCCACAGGAAGGTGGGGAAAAGAATAAAAAGCAGAGGGAACAAACAGAATATAATTATTACTGGCCATCATATTAGTGGAAGGCAGTACTTTTAAATATTAAAAATTTGCTCAGTAATAGTGATTTGCAAATTGTTTGAGGGAGATTCCCAATGGGATGTTTTATGTTGAAATCCGGACTTCCTATCTTATCCAAAATCTGAGTTCAAAAAATAGCACAGAAAAATGAACAGATTCTGCTTCACTTATAAAATAAAAACATTAAAATTTCACAAGCTCAGACCTTAACTTCAATTTAAGCTTTTATCAAAGTCTGAAGACCCATGTCATTGTCACTAGGCTCAAATTCAAGCTTGCAGTATTATTGATTCTGCCTATCCACTTAGAATTTATTTTGTTAAGTATTCACTTTATTTAAAATATACATACCTAAAAAATATTAGACAGAGCTAATTTAAATTCTGTTTAAATCTGTACAGTAGGCAAAGTTTTAGAAACCTGTTGCATTGCACCCCGACAGCCCCTACCCATAGTGTCCCCTCTTTACCTTAGGGTGCTGCTTTCAACTCTCCAGGTTGGAAACCAATTTGATCAACTAATCTCTGAGATAAAATGTTATTCCACTATGGGTTTAGGAGTGATTCTTCTAGGCACATTTGCATTTTAATAAGAGGCCCTTAAAGCCCCAAATCTACTATGATGTGAAGGTGTCTATCTGTGCCATGTCCAAAAGGACAGGTTTAGGGAAAATAATCTGTTTCTGGGCTGCCTGGGTCTCTTGCAAATCCTGCTATAGAGATTGTCCTCTGTGCTCTCCAGTATAAAGCACGTCCCCGCTAACAGAATTTTAATGAGATAAATGAGAAGCAGGATAATGTAGAGGAAAGAATACTAACTTTGGAGTTGGGAAAACTCTTAGATTTGATCCTGATCAGTCAGGTAGCCTCTCTAGCTTCAGCTGGCTCATTTGAAAATGGTGATCTTTAGCATCCTCCAGTGCTATGACACCAGGATTAGATAGAACTGAAATCTATCTCTCAGCACATAAGAACAATAACGTCACCGCCTCCAAGAACACAAAAGACCTGCTGTAATGCTCCACATCTTTTATCTTAAAATTTTTTTTATTGGAACACCTATTTCCTTCTTTCTTTCCTTCAACTTTTAAGTTCTGGGGTACAGGTTTGTTTCACAGGTAAATGTGTGCCATGGTGGTTTGCTGCACAGATGAACCTATCACTTAAGTATTAAATACAGCAACCATTAACTATTCTTCCTGATGCTCTATCTCTCCCTACCCCCACTCCTACAGGCCAGAGTATGGAACACCTATTTTCTTAGAAGACAGATGAAGTGTTGTTATGATAACTACTTCCAATTACTTCTCATTGAAATAAGTAATCAGAAACTCATAATCCAAATGACAATAGCAGACAAAGGAAAAACTAGACTCAAACTAGTGAGTCAAGAGGATGAAAACTGATTTTCTTTTGCCTGCCCTTCTCTTTTCTTTCCTTCTTTCTCTTTCTTTTCTTTTTTTTCTCTTTTCTTCCCTTTCCTTTCCCTTCCCCATTCCTTCCCCTTCCCTTCCTTTCCTTTCCCTTCCCTTCCCTTCCTTCCTTTCTTTCTTTCACAGTCTCACTCTGTCACCCAGGCTGGAGTGCAATGATGTGATCTCATCTCACTGCAATCTCTGCCTCCTGGATTCAAGCCATTCTGGTGCCTCAGCCTCCCAAGTAGTGGGATTACAGGTGTTTGCCACCATACCCAGCTAATTTTTGTATTTTTATTAGAGACTGGGTTTTGCCATGTTGCCCAGGCTGGTCTCAAACTCCTGACCTCAAACAATCCATCTGCCTTGGCCTCACAAAGTGCTGGGATTACACGTGTGAGCCACGGCACCCAGCTTCCTTCCTTTCTTCTTCTTATTTTTTTTTAATAGAAGTAGTCTTGCTACATTGACCAGGCTGGTCTCAAACTCCTGGCCTCAAATGTCCTGCCTTGGCCTCCCAAAGTGCTGAGATTATAGACATGAGCCACTACACCTGGTATTTATACTGAAAAGTAATATATAAATGTCCTTTTAAATATTCCTGTATTATTTTTATACTTATCAATAGGGTATAGGGCAGTAACAAAAATTCAAGTGACAGAATAAACCAATCACCTAATTGAATTAGATAATTAAAGAATATATCAAGGAAAAATACAATAACGGAATTCTTGCACAAATATTCATTATGTCAAGCAACAAACATGAGAGAAGGAATCCCCCTAAATATTGATATTTCCAACATGCTCATGCCATGAACTCCTTTGATAAAAATGTACCTGCCTTTTCTCTTCATTGCCATATATCAAACTCACCCTTCCAGTGTTTTTTACATTTTACTAGCCCTAAGAATTACCTGGAAATCTTGTTAAGACAGATTCCTGGGCTGCTTTGGATCCTCTATAATTCTAAAAAAGGGCACTGGAATCTCTAGGTCTCATAAACATCCCCAGTGATTCCTATAAAGAGAAAATCTTGGAAACACTGGGTTTGATAAATGAACACCTGCCAATGTATCTCACTAATAGAAAACCTTTACAGGAGAACAACAAAATTATCTAAATCTAAAAATCACTGCACACAGTTATTGATTGGTTGCTATATGCCAAGAACACATGATTATCTCTTATAATCTTTGTAATTCACCTTTGAAATTGTTTTTACTTTATCCATATAATATTAAAACAGGGAGACTGAGCCCTGAGAAGTGCCCTGCTAGGTCACACAGCTAATAAGAAACAATGCCAAGGAAAACTGCTAGGTGACAGTCCCAGGTGTCTTTCCTCCAGCTTGCAGGTGACATTTCCTGGGTCAGCCCCTGAACATGCTTCAAGTTTAACACACCTATGGAGTTGAGACATGATGGGCTTGGAACTTAAGAAGCTGGGCTGACTGATGACATATTACACAGTTCTGGTTGTGCACTCAGGATGACACGTGTCTTAGGAGTCTTCTTATTCTTGTGATAGAGGTTGGAGAGAAAAATTAAGAAGGTGGGAGGGGTGTGTGTGTGTGTGTGTGTGTGTTTTGCTTTGTTTTTTTTTGAGATGGAGTCTCCTTCTGTCACCCAGGCTGGAGTGCAGTGGCATGATCTCAGTTCACCACTATAAAGGACATTATTAAGACAACTGGCAAAATTTGAATAAGCTGTGTAGATTAATAGTATATGTGTTGCTAATATTCTGATTTTGATAACTGTGTTTATGTAAGACAATATCCTGTTTTTAGGAAACAAACACTGACTATTTAGGGGTAAAGAGATATATATCATGTTTACAATTTACTCTCAAATGGCTCCAAAGAAGTGTGTGTGTGTGTGTGTGTGTGTATAAAATTGTGTAATCTGAGTGAAGGATATTTGGGAGTTTCTTTAATGTTTCTGCAACTTTTATGTAAGTTTTAAAATTAAAATTGTTTGAAATATTAAAATTCTTAAAGAAAAATTTTGCTAAAATTGTACTGGAAAGAATTGTACTGGAAAGTTATAATTAACTATTTTCTAAGAGGCAAATTTAATTTTAATTACATACACATATACAGGAAAGAATTTTGGAAGAAAGAGAAAGGAGAAAGGGAAGGGGAGAGGAAGGGAAGAGAAAGCAGAGAAGGAAGAAAGGAAGAGAGAGAATCAGAGAGAGAAAGGATGAAGAAGAGACTTGGATTTTGGAAATCCTAATAAAACCTATCAATTCAGCGGCCAACTTCGTCATTTAGTAGCTGTTGTGTGACCTTGGTTACACTCTACAGTTACTCTGAGCCTCCATTTTCCAGCCTATAAGATTGAGATAATAGTACCCTCTGTAGGGTGGTTGTGAACAGGAAAGGAAATGACATCTCTAACAGCCAGAGCCTTGATGAGGGAAGAGGGGTCAGGGCACAGGGGAGGGTCTTGCCTCTTGTTTTGCCTCCCCATTGGCTCTTCGCCTACCCCAGAGACAGGGAAACATGTTGTGAACACCTGTTCCTGAGGAGCAACCCCCGCCTAGGCTGCCAGATGATTTCCAGAAGACAAAGGAAGCGTTAAACTGGACACGCTTAGAAGTCTTCCAGGGGTGCTTACCCTTCCCTTACTTCTTTACCTTCAAGAATATGATCAACCATTTTAAATGCTTCATCAACATTTCCATATTCCAGTTTCCTTTCTGGCTTGAAGAAGGAGTTGTGCTGTATAGCTTCCTAGAAAGAGAACAGAAGAGTGAGGTGTCCTGGGCAAGAGATGCTGCCCTAGGGTGGCAGCCACGCCCCATTGTGCATCCTCTGAGCAGGCACTGTTCTTCCCTTCACCTTGTGGTCCCATGCACTTTCACCGTGATCCTGGTGAGCCAAGCTAAGAATCCAACTGCAGAGAGACTCCCCAGTGAGGAAATGTAGATGTGCCCACTGAGTCGAAAGAAATAATATGCACAGAACAAAACTGGCACCTAAGTGATCTCAGAATGAAACTAGTATTTTCCAGGCAGATTATTCTCTTCACCCCACAATCCATTTCATGCAGCCAAGGCCATACAGCCCAGAGCTTCAGAGCCTGGGCTCTAGACCTAGATAGCATCATGCACATTTTCCCCATTTACCAGCTTTGACTGTGGACCTATCACTTCACCTCTCTTATCACCATCTATAAAATGAAAGTTACAGGTGTGCATATAGCTCCAATAGGATTGTGCTTGGTGAAGATAAAATGAAATAAGACATGTGAAAAGCTTGTGTGGCATATAGTAAGCACTTAATAAATGCTAGTTGAAGACTCTCTAGTGATTGGGATCATGGTGGCTCTGCCTGCCAGTCCCACATTCCTTCTTTGTGGGGATAAGAATTTCATTTGCACAGGGCAGTAGACCACCTGGGACCTCCATCCCTGGAAGTAAGATTTCAGACAAGCCCAGACAAGCTGTCTGGGCGCTGGTGTACAAATCCATGTATACACTGGCCCCTATTGGCTCTCCCTGGGTGCCCAGTGAAGGGGTATGGTGGTGTACATAACCAGGGATGTAGTTACAATAACATAGATTGGTTTTTAGCTATCCCTGAGAATTTATCTTGCAGTAATCCATGTGTCCACTGACAAATGTGGTGTGACAGCTCCTGCTGGCATTAACTACTGTTGAGTTGTTGTCCATCCATGAAATTCCATTCTGTTGATAGCTGGGGATTCTCTTATCTCTGTTTTCTCCTGGCCACCAGTAGTTGTCTAGACAACACTCCTTAGAGGGAATGTGCTATTGTGATTCTGCCATTTCCTCTATTCAAAAACAGGGTTGGTTTGCTTATACCACAGGTAGGGCCCAGGTTCTTTGACAGAGTGTTTGTTTATCGCTTTTGTTACGAACTAGCTATGTAACCTTGGGTAACCCTTTTAGTTTCCTCATCAGAATGGGGATGAAAATAGTTTTTACCTCATAGGATTGTTGTGAGCATTTTGTAAGTGAATGTGTGAAACTGACCTAGAACCATGTCAACCATGTAGTGAGCTCTGTATAGGTCCTAGCTATGATCATGCTGTTTTAGTGATTATTATTCATGACAGATTCTGGTAGGGAACACTTTTTTTTTCACTATGGTCATCAGCCTTACCCCTTGATGCAAGAGTTTTGATTATTTCCCCATTCCATCTACTGAAAACTCAAAAAGTGTAAGTCAGATTAGATCTTTGTGATAGTGACAGAGATATTTGTTTTTGTTCTATTTTGATTGATAACACACTTCCTATTGGAATCAGTCCATATGCTTTCCTTATTAATCCAAGATTAAAGAGATTCTAGGTTGGAAAGAAAAAAGAAGCTAGGTTTCATAAATCCTATTTTTAAAAGTTTAATCTTTTTCAACTTCACTGGCTGCTTGCTCTTTGAGTAACCTTGAGCCAATTCTGAATTTTTCTTAGGAAAGTGATAAAAGAAATGTAATGTATAGGGAGAGGGGCATATTTCCCTGCTTTATACACTTTGATTAAATCCACTCTGATCCAGTTGATGAAACTTTGAGAGCTTAATCTCTGCGAGGCAATTCTTTGCCACAAAGCCAAAGCTTGTATCTGATGCTGGGATTCTCTGGCAGACAACCACAAGTCTGCTGGCTGATGTGGAGAGGCCTGGGGAAGTGGCATCTATTATACTTGCTTATCAGGACTTTTATTCAGCTGGAAGTTCGGGGGGGCGAAGAATAGATATTTAGCCCGTGGTATTGGACAAAGAATTAGAAACAAAATAATTTCTAATAAGTAATTTTAACTCTCCAGCAAAACTTTGGGGGATGGAATATATGAAGCAAGCAAGAACAGCAGGCAACATGTAAATGAAAAGGGCCTGAGAAGGGAATAGAGTGTTTGGATTTGAAACTGGCCAGGAAAATCTGGGAGGTCTAAACATGCTTTGACTCCAACTAAACTTTTAAAATTTCTTCTTTTTAACATGATTTTAATTTTAAAACATAAGAAAAATTCCCAGAGACAAACTCCATGTTCCTAGGCATCAAGCAGCACGGCAGGAAGCACCCCCAAAACCCGGTTCTCCTGGAGACCTTGATCGTGCCCAGGTGGCTTCCTCAGTTCTGCCTCAGGCCATGCTAGTCACCCAGAGAGCGATGTGTTCATTATGCTGTGAAGCTACTATTGTGTCCCAGAGCACATGCAGCCTGTATGGACTGAGTCTAATCTATTTACGCTGCCTCCCCAATGTTCGTAGGCTAGATCTCAAGATTTGTGCTTGAAATGCTGGGGCAATAGGGTTCCCCTTACTCCTTGAACATGAACAAGGAAGCTCAGGTTGTCCTGGTGGCCATCTGTGACCACAGGAGATCAAGCCTGAATCGTGGGCAGCAGAGAGTTAGTGGCAAAAGAAACTGTGTCCTTGGGGAAATTGTTAATCCTGAGACTATTTAGAGGTCACTAAAGTCCCTGTATTCTGGAAGCCACTTTAATCCACATTTTTCTGTTACAGCGGCCAAAAGCATTTTAATCAATATTTGTTCCGGCTCCCAACTGGCACCACCATGAAATTCATTACCTCAATTGTTAGGATCAGTGGCTCCAAGTCTTGATAGACAATCTTTACTCGCTTAGCAGCTCGCTTTGCCTGAACCTCAGAATCAGCAAGCACGGCACAGACAAGGTGACCCACACAGAACACCTACGACACATAAAGACCTTTGTTGTCAAGGAAGGCAGGCATCAGCTCCTCTCTTTTATTCATTTTCTTCCTGCTTCCTAGTACTAGATCACACTAGAGCTAGGGCTACACACACGCAGATGTGACCCCTGCACATCAGTCCATGACTATAACCACAGCTGGCCTCCTGATTCCAGGCACTGGGGGAAGTTTAGACCCTTGTGCTCTATCAAAGTAGCATGAGTGATGTTGTCTTGAGGACAGCTGACTTGGGCTCCAGGCCAAGCCTATGAGGCTATGTGAAGGCCAGCCTGTCTCATGGCTTGATATGTAGCTGTTCTGAGAGAGGCAGCCTCTGCTTTCATGGACAGGGAGGACCAGGAAGTCACAGCTCATCTCAGTCAGAGAGAAAAAGGGGGTGACTTGGGAAGGGGAGTCCCCTTTGATAAGAGAACACTGCTGGTGAGCACATCTCTCCTCACAAACTGCCTTTTCATGAAAAGACTTCCTAGCCAAGATGCAACCAAGCAGATAGCATCCCCTTCCTGGGGGGACTAGCTGCTAGGATTATTCACCTGTGGGTGGGGTAGCTAGACTCAGGAGTTCACACGAGGACCAGAGCAGAAGATGGGGAAAATAAATCTTAAGGCTTGAGAAAGGTAAAAACAGTCTGGACTGGAAGAAGTCACCATAACTGCTGAGTTCTCTCTCCTACCTTATACTATAAGGATTCACAATTCCAACGTAATCACTCATTTTAAAAATAGACTTTAAACTATTATGTCTTTTCCATAATGAACATAAAGCAGTTTTATCAACAGAAAAAAAGGTATTAAAAACATTAAATCTAGCATGAACACAGAAAAGTGTGTTTGTTGGAAGAGGACAGTGAAAGAGAGAAAAATGAAACAAGAATGGCAATGTGTTGGTAATTGTTGAAGCTGGATGATGGATCTATGTGGTTCATTGTACAATACTTTTCTATTTTTGTGTATGTTACAATTTCTACAATGAAAACTTTTTAAAAAGCCAGTAAGTACCATAAATGAATATTTTAAAAAGCATCAAACCAATAAAGGCATCATTCACAATGGCACTGTTCTTTGCTCTCCAAAGATGCCTGATTTTGCTCCTGTGACCTGGCACATAGATGTGGCCCCTAAGATGCTTATACTCTTCATAAGGACATCTCAGAGAGCAGGTACTATCATGCCGTTGAGACCAGTTTTGCTTTATTTATTTATGCAAAGGCCTTACGTTCTCACTGACTCTGCCAGTGCTGCACAGCCCTGCTTCGGGGGAGTTTCAACCTTGAGTTCCAACTCTCAGTCATCAAGCTTTCATTTCTATGAACCATATCTTCCAGGGATATCTTCAAGGGAGAGCCAGAGGAAGGTACTGTTTCAAATTATGAAGCCCTTTTGGGTAAACACTGAACTGAGCAGTCTGTTATGCAGAAAACCTGCTGACTGCTGTCCTTGCTGTAGTCAAAGTTTTAATCATTTGTAACTTTCACAAGGCAACAATATTATCACTATCCCTCTATTCATTTACCCTGCAATGTGGGAAGCAGTGTGTGGAATATATAGATGAATCAGACATGGATCCTCACTGAAGGAATTTATACTAGGTAGAGGACATGTATAAGACAAAACATAAGACATATAAACAAGCTTAACACAAGGTAGAAAGTACATTAAAGGTCACTTCATTTTCTCCTCTAGACTTTAGGCTGCATGAAAGTAGAAACCATACATATCTTTTTCAGTTATGGTGACCAGACATCATAGACGCTCACTTTTAAAAAGTCCATTTAGTCCGGGTGCAGTGGCTCACGCTTGTAATGCCAGCACTTTGGGAGTTGGAGGCGGGCAGATCACCTGAGGTAAGGAGTTCAAGACCAGCCTGGCCAACATGGTGACATCCCATCTCTACTAAAAATACAGAAATTACGTGTGATGGTATGTGCCTGTAATCCCAGCTATTCAGGAAGTTGAGGCAAGAGAATCACTTGAACCTGGGAGGCAGAAGTTGCAGTGAGCTGAGATCATGCCACTGCCCTCCAATCTGGGTGACAGAGATAAACTCCATCTCAAAAAAATAAATGAAATAAAATAAAATAAAAAACTTATTTAACACATGGAAATATGAATGAATGAATCAGAATAAGCTGAGAGAGAGAGAGACAGAAAGAAGTATTTCTGGATTAAAGAATAAGGAAAAAGGCTTTATGGTATAGATACGACTTGAACTTGTAGTTGAACTGACCACATGGAGACTGGCACAATAATAAGGGATTCTCAGGGAAGGGATTTCCAAATAAAAGTTATCATTAATATGTCTTTATTTATTCACTTATACCATTAGCAGCATGCCATCTCACTATTAGAAAATGTAAAACTCCATATAATCTTTTATATAACTAATGTCTTACTTATATGGAACATGAATATACTTTATAAGAAGCATTCTAAGAATACTGCAGTCTTTCATGGTGTGCCAAATTAGATGGTACCTTTAAGAAAATATAAAGCACCATTAACTGAGAAAGTTATTTTTCAAACAGAAAGCAAAAATGCAGTACCTTATCTGTTGCCAGAAGTGTCTCAGTTTCGGCGAAAAAGCAGAAGGAATTGACGTCACCAAGATGTTCTGCTGTCATGATATCCACTACACCGGGCATGCTGAGAGCTTCTGACAGATCAATAGACCTAGGTGGTATATACAGCAGAGCTCCTGAGAGTGGTCATAGAGCCCGAGAACACAGTTAATTGGAAAATAAGATATGAGAGAGGTAAGGACTGTCCAACAGTCTCTGCCAGACAACTGGGAAAAAAATTCTTGGGACAATGAAGTTGTAGTAAATCCTGCATTTCAATCCCATTTCACCTCTGGTCTGAATTGGGTATCACCAACAAATAGCCTATTTCTTCACACCATTACTTTTCACTAATGTGACTTAGATGAAAAAGCAGTCATTTACCCCCATTGGATAAGAACTTTATCACTTACACAATCTTAGCATGAGCTCTTGAACTAGTCACAAAAGTCAAGAAAAGTTCCTTGTCCACCGGAGGCATGTCATCACAGTAGATGGCCTCCCCCGTGGCATGCTTCACACCAGACAGATGCATGATGGGGTGGCCAACTGGGTCTTCGGGATGCTGCTTTGGGCCTATTTTCTATTTAATAAATAACCAAAATATACTTTTATATTTCTATAGAGAAGGCAGGAATAGTCTTATTACACACATCTCCTATAAGAAGGTAGTATAACCAGAAGAACACTTTGCATATGAAAAATCACTATTGGGCTAGCCACAGTGTTTCACGCCTATAATCTCAGCACTTTGGAAGACTGAGGTGGGCAGATCACTTGAGATTAGGAGTTCGAGACCAGCCTGGCCAACATGGTGAAACTCTGTTTCTACTAAAAATTAAAAAAAAAAATTAGCCAGGTATGGTGGTGCAAGCCTATAATCCCAGCTACTCAGAAGGCTGAGGCTACAGAATCGCTGGAACCTGGAAGGCGGAGGTTGCAGTGGGCCGAGATCACACCACCGCACTCCAGCCTGGGAGATGATAGAGACTCCACCTCAAAGAAAAAAAGTCACTATTAGTAACACCAGGAAAATAAACCTACTATGGCAATTCATTAGGCCAACTGGTATGTCGATCCATGACATTTTTATTTTTCACTTTTAAAAAAATATAGACCCCAAACATCACTAATGGAAATTTCATTTGTGGAAGTAAACAAATTTAAATCTTTCTTCTTGATAGTATAAAGTTATGTCCTCTTGCTAATGCTTATATATCTCTTTAAATTTTATTATCAAAATGACTTTACTGTTTCTATATAAGCATGACATATTTTACATAAGAGTATGATGATATCATGACTGTTTATAGAAAATATGGAGGGTATTACTTCAACCAGAAGAGACTTTTTTTTTCTACTTTGAATGAGGAAATATAAGAAATAATTGGCAAAACTCTTAACTTAGACAATCCTGGTAGAGAATGAAGCCAAAGGGACCACAATTGGAGCAATGATTCACTAACGTTGCTCTTTCCTAGGGCCCCGTGGAGCAGAATGTCTTGCTGGTGGTTCTGTAAATACCTCAAATGTGTTTCATTAACCAAAGTGGAGATTAATCAGCACAATGTCTGCCCTGGTATTTCAAATATGGGAGTTTCTGACTTTCCCATTTGGGTGTATATTGTGAAAAGAATTCAAGGCATGAAGAAAGAAGGAGAGAGAGAGTGAAGAGACATGATATAAGCTGAGCTCAGAGCCCAGGGTGAAGGCTGTGGTTGAGGAGTTGCCTGGTAAGCCTTGGCGGGTGCCCCCATCTGTAACTCACTGTGGCAGCATTGCACTCAGTGGTGCGACTGAGGTCAGACTCCCAGAGGCTTTCTCTGGAAGACCTGTGGGTGAGGGGCATACAGTCATGTTGGCCAGGCTGAGGTCAGGGAAAAGGTATGGATGCCTCCCCTTCCCATCCTGCAGTTCACATGATCACCCTGAGTCCTGGATCTTCCTTTCAGATGAGCCTTACAGTGCCAAGCTACACATCATTGGGAAGGAGGGAAGAGAGAACAAGTTACCAACAGAACACATACTGCTTAAAAATCTTTACTGGGAGAAAAAAGAAGAAACAGACCTATTTCCAACATGGTGTCTTTCAAGGCATCTGAAGTAGGGGAGAAAAGCTAAATTCTTTTGCATTTGATTACTACAATATGCAGTTTGAAAAAGCCTATTCAGTACATCTCACAGCTGCGAAGAATAAGTTAGATACTGAATCCATTTAAAATAATATCTCATTTCACTCTTCACTGCAGATTTTCCTGTTTCAAAGTCCGCCCTGGTCCAGTGACAGTGCTCTAAGTCTCTTGCTCTATGGAACTGAAGAGAAGCTGTTTGGATTCCCCTGATTAACACATTTCCTTTTCATGCAGATGTTTTTCTTTCTTTTCCTTTCTGAACATTTGTATATAATTCATCCAATCCCACAAATGGAGGAGAGCTCTGGTTATAATGTAGAACTTTACTTAAGACAGCTGTGAAATACACAATTCTCCAACACCCTCTGCTGCTCCAGAACTTGAGAAGGGTGCTCTCCACTCACTACCAAACTACTTAAGGGCCTCAAAAACATAAACGTCTGGCTGGAGTTAGAGATCAGAGATTCTCCAGGTGGGTGGCATGCCTGGAATATCAGTAGGGAATGGCAGGGTGGCATGTGTTGAGAACATGTTCAACATAATTATTGATGATTTGAAAAAAGAAAAAAAGTATTGTTTTCATAATATAAATGACAAGGAGTAAAATGTTAACCAAATTGTGGCTGACAACTATGCATAGAAAGTAGTGTAATTTCTACAATTACCTTGGTATAAGACATGTGTAGAATGCACTTATTCCTATTTTATATAAAATTTACTGTTTTACTGCAAAATAAACACTGTTGATAAACATTTATTGCTTTAATTTCATGCTTGTTTTATTTAAATCTAAATTTCTATTTGTAATTAGTATAATACAGTGCATAACAAACAGAGTATCAAGTTTTTGTTTTTTCCTTTTCAGTTATTGTTGAATCATCCATAATCTAGAAAGCAGGAGACTATCAAGAAAAATAATTTAGACCTTGACCCAGGCACTATTAAATAAAGGGAGATATTAGGCCACTAATGTAGGGGACTAGGGAAAATTAGAGAAAATTTTAGTTATTGGGGTTCGGGCATGAGGACAGATTGGAGGCAGTCCCAATGCCCCAGCTCTATTGACGTAGCTCACACTGCCCTGTCCTCATGGCAAAGGGCTCCCAGCAGTTCTCCTCTTTCCCCTCTGCTTTGAGGAGCAGAGATAGTGATGAAAAGGAAGAAAAAACCAACAATGTAGGTTCTACCAGGTGTGGTTTTTCATGTTACAGATGGTAAGAATTGACTTCCTCAGTAAATATCTCCCAAAGTGCTGAGCTGTGATGCTTCTTCAGCTCCCAACCTGAACCACATTTGAGTGAAAAAAATCACTCACATCTTTTTAAAACCCTAAGAAGTTTTTTCATCCTGAAAAGCAACATTCCAGATAATTCATGAGCTCAGACATTAAGGAAAGACACTCATAAGTATCTGTAATGGGTCTGGGAGTTAACTGACACAGCACTTTTCACTGTAACCAACAAAACACTTAATAACATTGGGAAAAAAGAGTCTTTTGAAACCATGCTGTGTGAGCCCTGCCAAAAACTGAGGAAAAATTCCAAAAATGTCTTTGTCCTATAGTCAAATATAAAGTTGATTATTTTAAAGATATCACACTTTTTTTTTCTGTCAGTTGTGACAAATGTACTGGTGAAAGAGGCTGTCAACTACCTGCTTCTGCTTCATATTTGGCTAAAGATACTATGGCAGAAAGAATGTTGTTTCCTCAAACTGGTGATCTTTTGAAGCTGTGTCCGAATGCTTTCAAAGCCAATGAACTGATTTAGGGGAAAAATGCTCTTTGTGATTGCTGACATTGCTCCAGTAATGTGGATATTTGTATATGTGTGTGAAAAACCACGGGCAAAACAAAAACAAAACTCATCTATATGGCAGACATATTGTATCTAAAACTTTGTTTTGCAACCAGTGATAAACTCTCATTCAAGATCATGCACTATGTGAAAATTTCCTTTTTTCTTTGGATGATTTCGATATCCATTAATTTGTTGTTGTTTCTTTCTGAGGTTTATTCCATTGTCCAAGAAATATTAGGATATTTATAAGTCAAAGGTTTTGACTATCATATTTTAAAAGAATACCAGGGAAGATGGCAGCTGTTTTTAAATTTCAAAATGATTATTTTCAATGGAGTTTGGTGCATTTTAATTTTTAAACGTATTGAACCTAAAACCTCAAGGAATATACACCAACTACAATGTTGATTATGACATACTATAAGCTTTTACAACTAAATCCAACAATAGATTCAGTGAACAAATGCTTTAAAAAGCCTTTTCATGTTCTTGACTTATTAAAACTCTCAAGGTCAAGTTTCCTGATAACAATTTCAAGGGAAAACACATCAAATTGTATCCACTTTACCAACAGGGTGACTTCGGGCAATATTTTTATGATATGGCAGAAAATTCCATTTGAGAGTTAGGAATTCTGTTCTCTAATTGCCTTTATTGGGAGAGCTTATAAAAAGCTCTTAGAACCTACATTTGATTCAACTCTCAAATGTAACTCACAGAAAAATCACTTGGAGAATAGGGACTAAGGGAGTAAAATATGTTCACATTCAAGTAAACAAATCAGCAGTTCTTTTTAAAAGCATTATTGCATTTTCATCAACTGCCAGGGGCTGTGTCTTTTTCTCTGAAAATGAAAGCAAAGCAGCTCATGGCCCTGCTGCAGAGTGTGGCTTTATTGGAATCTGACGCCTTGCAGTGCTCAGGGCAGAAAACACGTGGCAAGGTGGCCAGTTCGTGGATGTCAGTGGTACAAGGCCCCTGTGCAAAGCATGTGACCTTTAAGACCCAAATCAACATTTTTCTTTAATGTTATCATTGCCAGATTTGTCTTTGGTCACAATTCTTCATTGATTTCAAAATTTTAATTACCCCTAAAGAAGGCTATGGGTTCACCAGAAGAGGAGCTTGAACTTACAGAGTTTGAGTTTCACAGAGAGACAATGGGAATGTCCAGGTCAAAGCACTATAGCCCAGACTCTGAATTTTTAAAAACAAAAATACCACTCACCTGGTACTTTAATGTGCTGCAGTGATGTCTGGAATGAAGATCTTCTAAAGCACTCGCATACTTGTCTGCAAGGCTAGGATAGTGAACTGAGTTCTGAAAAGTAGAAACATTGCAGATACCTTAAATGGTTTGAATGCCAGAATGGTTTTGGAAGGGAGGCTGGCATGAGTCTTAGCAAACATCTCTACTTTGAAGTCTCACATGTATTAAGCACTCATCCTATTCAGAACCCTAGAATATAAGCAACTCCCTGACTCAAGGACATATACTCTGAAAGGTGCATACATACTCCCTCATATTATGAATAGCCAGATGAATACAGTAGGTAACTGGCTTCCACCATCTCTATGTTTCTATGATTCTCACATATACTCTCCTAAATGATTTGAGGACTTATAAACTGATCTAACAGGAAGACAGAAGATAAGGAAGAAAATACTTAAGCCAGGAAAACATCAGAGTCAAAGTTCACCATTGCAAATAAGCGTAAAACTGTTCCATGTTGCCCGCCAGCTATGTAGAAAGGGGGACACAGTCTGCCTCCCTGCTGCTGCCCCATAGCGGGAAGGATTCTGTTCCAAAGCAAGAACATTCCCTGGGACTGAGGGAAGTGAGTCACTTAGTTCTTTACACAAGACTGAGAACATTGCACAGCCTACAGCCAGATGGGGGAAAGGCTTTCAACAATACACCTGGTGGTTATTTTTTTCTAATTTAAATAATTTTAGTAGAAAATAAAACCAGCTAGGTGCCATGGCTCATGCCTGTAATCCCAGCATTTTGAGAGGCCAAGGCAGGAGGATTGCTTGAGTCCAAGAGTTCAACACCAGCTTGGGCAACATAGTAAGACCCTGTCTCTACAAAAAAATAAAAGAAATTAGTCAGGCGTGGTGGTGCATGCCTAGGGTCACAGCTACTCAGGAGGCTGAGATGAGAGGATTGCTTAAGCCCAGGAAGTTGAGGCTGCAATGAGCTATGATAACACACCACTGTACTCCACTTTGGGTGACAGAGTGAGACCCTGTCTCAAAAAAAAAAAATTAAAGAAAACCAAGAAAAGCTATTATTTTTAACGAGAGGAGGGGTATAAGACTACAAGCAAAAGTTTTAAATTATATCACTTGAGTCACCCAGAAATTGTATTAGTTTACTATTAATGGGAGGAGTCTATAATTGGTTACCTGGTGACAATATGACACTTATCTGTAATTTTAAGTTTTCATTCTTAAAAATGTGATACTACCTTTCTGGTTCCTAATTGTTCCCACTTACAATGAGAAGATACCCTCAAAAACAAGGACAAGAGAGGACTTTGTGTCTCCTCTTTAAAGTGACCATACTAATTTCCATACCACAGGAAGACTGTTCTTGGCTTTTAGTCTAGTTTGGTCAGCTGGTTATAGCATGGGGTTTGTGAGGCCAATAAGGCTCGTCTCCTTTGGGTCTAACAGATTTATTCAGAGTTTTTTTTTAGTTGTACTCTTCCCCAGCCAACAATCTTATAGCACTAACTGCTTGCCCTAAGAGAGACCTGGCAAAATAATGCATGGTTATCACTCCTATTATTATGACTACTACTATGGATTTCCTCTGAAGCACTAGGGACCTACAAGATGCTTTTCACAATCATCTTGTGTGGTGGCTGCCATCGTTACCTTATGGGCTAGAGAAATGAAGCTGAATCTGGGAAAGAACACCAAACAAACACACGAAGTAAACCTCAAGGTGAGGGTAATATCTCAAGAGGAAAAAATGCCCTATGGAGGGAAAACTTATTCCTTATTCAAATCATTAGCAAGTTTTCTGAACATGATCTAGGAAAACTGCAGGTCAGAAACAAAATAATTGAGTGGTTTTACATACAAGCTTTCCCAACTCTCGGCTCTACTTGCAATTCTTCCCCAAACTCATACCCATCCACAGACGGGCTGAGCGATGCCCAGCAAGTGCATGTGTTTCAAACATGGATTGTCTTCTTTATTCTACAGCCATTTGCTAGGGAGTCATTGCCCCTACTTTGGGTGTTATCATAGCTCCCAGTACCGGGGAAGTTAATGTGTACCATCTTTTTCAAAATCTGTGACACTTCCAGGTAGAACTTAAAGAGGAAGCTGATGATGAGGGTCCTCTTGAACTCCACCTTCCCACCTGGAGCTGAGCCCGGAAGACAGACTTCATCCAGAACAAGCCTGCAAGCTGTATCCAGCATTTCTTCATTCCAGAGCCTAGAAAGTCCAAAGAGAAGATTCCTAGCCTAACAGGGTTTATCACCCCATATCTTCATCTAACATGTAAGGCAAATAGCCACGGTTTCACACAGGAAATAAGAGTACAGGCTCTGGAGTCAGGCAGCCTGAGTTTAAACTGGCCCACCACTCTCAAGGTGTTTAGCCTAGGTCTTGCCATGTCCTCATCTGTAAAAGGGGAATATTAGTAGAACCGAACTCACAGCGTGAACTAGAGAAATAAATGACAACTCAGCTAAAATTCATGGTCCAGGAGTAACTGACCTCATATCACTAGGACATTTACTGCATGCCAAGTTCTGCTTTTATTACCTTATATGTATTCACTCATTTAATCCTCTCAACTGCCCTATGAGGTAGATATGATCAACCATCTTTGACATGTAGGGAACCAAAGTAGCAATATAATAAGTAAGCTGACTGAGATCATGGAGGAGTTAACAGAGGGTGAACTGAGATTTGGGCCAGGCAGTCTGGGTTTCTCAAGTTTTAAGCTCATGCTTTTAATCCTTATGCTTTGTTATGGCAGCTGATACCAAGTAATGCTCAAGAAATATTAGCTATTAGTATCACCTATAGATACAGGAAATCAGGTAAGCAAGTGCTTTTAACAATTTATTATAGAACAAACTCTCATACTTGGTTTTTCATCATGGCAAATTATTCTCTCAAAATAGAGAATGCAAATTTGCACGGGGGAAGCGCTCTCTCTGTCTCTCTTCCACTCTTACATACACACACACAGACAGAATATATAATTCTCACTTCAGATATATGGAAATAATCACAAAATCTTATTGGAATTTCCAGCCATTAAATAAAAAAGGTATGGAGCATTTTTCTTCTTGTAATCACATCTCACCACAAAAAGGGCTGCTCTAATACTTGGAATCTAAGGACAATGCCTTACCTTCCAATGACTTTCTGGCAGGAATTCTTGGCACAGATGGTGGTTGGACCAATGCCTCCATATGAGATGGATAATTCTCTAATACTGCCATTCTCTTCTCCAAAAAAGACTCTCATTCCCGAATTGACTATCGCTAGTGCATTCTCTTGCCGCTGGGCTTGTCGGAAGGCTGACACAAATTCCCACTGAAAGAAACAGTTAAGTGGCACATGTGGAAACACTGAGCATCACCTATGCTCCAGGCAGTCTGTGTGTGTTGAGCATCATCTACACACTGGTCAGTCTGTGTATGTTTGAGTGTCACCTTGATATTAGACATGTAGCCCCTAGCATCTCCAAAAAAAGTCAATCTCTGTTGTTGAGGCCACCCAGCATGTGCATCTTTGTTACGGTATCCCTAGCAAACTAATATATCCTCTGAGGCAGGCTCGATTATTCCCATTTTATAGAGAGGAATCCAAGGCACAGAGGATTCAGTAATTAGTTCAGGTCTTGAAACAAGGATTCAAACCTGACTCTGTCTCATGCAAAGGCCAAGTTCTATTGCAAATGTATTTTTAGGCTTTTTTCAAACCCCAAGATACAGGTAGAGGTATACTATTCATGTCATATTTAGGGAGAAAGCCTTATGGGACAAAAACTTGTTAGAAAGTAACCTTAGAGCTTGGGGTAGGAGGAGAGAGAGCAAGAATGGCAGAGATAAAGATCTCCTGATTTGAGGAGTGAAGGGGCAAGTGTAATACAAGAAAAAGGCAACTATTCACGAGTCTTAAAATAATGACCTCACACCACTTCCTGAAGTTGAGCCTTTATCTCCCCCATAAACACTTAACCCTTTTTCTTATTCCACCATATGCTGGAATAAACAAGCCATAGCATCACAGGTGGAACTGGGAAATTGACAGTTGGATGTTCTCACCTTCCTTGAGTAGGGGATGTTCACTGAGATCAAGATTTCTTGAGGCTTAAGATCTGCATTAGGGCACTTGCTGAGGAACTGCTCATTTAAAGCAATCTCTCGTTTTCCTTCTGTGGAAAGAAATGATACTTTCCCTGGAATCTGTTTGGTCAATTAAATAAACTTCCAAATCTTGGGAAATAATTCTACCAAATGCCTGAGGAAACTGGTTGTTCAGAGAAAGAGGTGCTCTTCCTACGCTTAGCAAATCTTTTACCCTAAAAAGCATCTTGAAATGTTTCTTCTAGTCTACGCCCCCTCTTTTTGTTTTCTTTACTTTCTTATTGATCAAAACATCGGGCTGGGTGCAGTGGCTCACATCTGTAATCCTAGCATTTTGGGAGGCCTAGGCAGGTGGATCATTTGAGGTTGGGGGTTTGAGACCAGCCTGGTCAACATGGTGAAACCCCGCCTCTACCAAAAACAAAAAAATTAGCTGGGCATGGTGGTACATGCCTGTAGTCCCAGCTACTCAGGAAGCTGAGGCAAGAAAATCACTTGAACCTGGGAGGCAGAGTTTGCAGTGAGTCGAGATCACGCCACTGCACTTCAGCCTGGATTACTGAGTAGACTCCAACTAAAACAAAATTTACAATACATAAATAGATAAGAACATTTAGCAGAGTAGCCCAGAGTTTTAGGTAGAACGGAATCTTAGCAGTCCTCTTCTTGACAGCACAGTTCACTTAAAACTTTACAAGAAGGGAGTAAATACTAGTAATCTCTTTTGATATTCCAATCGAGTCAGCCAACAAATATTTACTGTTTGTAACCAGGAACCCTACTAGGTACTGTCATGAATAAGAAATTATTTTTAATAAATTTGTACACTAGTGAGGTGTTATCTTACTTTTTTATATCTTGTTCCAGTACCTAAAGAACCTTAGTTCTTTAATTAATATATCAGGAAGAGGAACAGTTTAAAACTATAACAAAATATGAGTTGGAGATGAAAGCTAAGGAGCTTTTGATGTCTATATTCATATCACGAAAACTGTTTCTCATAGTATGAGTTTTTAAGGTGATGTTACTTAAATTGAAAACTCTGAATGCAAATCTTCCTCTTTAAGATAGTTTTGCAGCCTAAAGCCATGGCTCATGCCTGTAATTCCAACACTTTGGGCGACAGAGGCGGGTAGATCATCTGAGGTCAGGAGTTCGAGACCAGCTTGGCCAACATGATGAAACATCATCTCTACTAAAAATACAAAAATTAGCTGGGCGTGGTGGTGTGTGCCTGTACTCTCAGCTTGAACACAGGAGGTAGAGGTTGTAGTGAGCTGAGATCGTGCCACTGCACTCCAGACTGGGTGACAGAGAGATTCCATTTAAAAAAAAAAAAGAAAAAAAGATAGTTTTGTAGTTTAAATGACATGAAGATGCTAGTGAAGTGATATGATAGAAAGCTAGACCATTTTTTTTTGAGACGGAGTTTTGCTTTAGTTACCCAGGCTGGAGTGCAATGGCGCAATCTCGGCTCACCGCAACCTCCGCCTCCTGGGTTCAGGCAATTCTCCTGCCTCAGCCTCCCGAGTAGCTGGGATTACAGTCATGTGCCACCATGCTCGGCCAATTTTTTATATCTTTAGTAGAGACGGGGTTTCACCATTTCGACCAGGATGGTCTCGATTTCTTGACCTCGTGATCCATCCGCCTTGGCCTCCCAAAGTGCTGGGATTACAGGTGTTAGCTAGACCATATTTTTTAACGAAAAAATAAAAACCCACAATATAGAGGACCGGTTAGAACTTCCTAATAATTTTCAAGCAAATTGGAAGAAGCAATAAATTAAATGTTGTAGACTTAGTTTCAATAACAAAAATGAAATAAATAAATAAATGCAGAATGAGGCCCAATCATTGTTCACCTGAAAAAGACTTGCATATTTCCATCAATGATAAATTAAGCATGAGACCAAAGCACAATGTAGGTGCCATAACACTCCTGTACCACCTGGAGAATGTCTTCAACAAAGGGGCCAATAGTTCTCAATAGTATGTATTTCTCAGCAATAATCAGACCATATCTGAACATTAATCATCACAAACATGTCCAGTGTAGGGTGACCAGTATGAGAAAAAAAAAATCCCAGAGAGATACAGGGGAAGAAAGCCTGTGATATTAAGACAAGACTCACAAACTTTCCAGTATTCAGAAAAGCAGAGAAAATTATTGATGTTATAGGGAAAAGTCATTTTCAGGTGGACTTCCTACCTCCTCAGAGAGAAAAGGGGATAGAGAAACAGCTGAATAATCTGCAAGTAGGGGCTGTCACTTACCTTTTGATAGCAAGTTGAGGGTACAGTTACCCACAGCCAGGAGGGGATTCAGATCTGAATCTGGATGCCTGCTAATGATGTGTCCCCCTAAAGACTTTTTAAAATAATGAGTTATTTTCATTTCAGTTATGTAATCATACAAACACAAGTACTGAAATAAGGATTAAGCAAGGCTTTGGATAACTATTTTTTTGGCTGTTTCAAAAGAATGAAAATGTCATGATTGATTAGAGAGAGCCACCCAAGGGATGCATACCAGAATTTACTGTCATCAGATACATACAGCCATGTTTCTGATCTGGGACCCAGCCAGAGTTCTCAAATGCTTCAAGAGAGCTTGGTACATCTGTGTCTTCTCCTCTGGAAGCTTCTGGACCACATCAGCCAAAATGTCCTTCACCTGGGCTAGGCTGAGACCAGCACCAAGGGTGAGTCCTGAAATGAAGTCATTTGTAAATAATGCAGTGTGACCACTGCTGACCTGAAAATGTCCATTAGACCAAAGCTATAGACATAGAATCTTTGTACTGGATACATGCTGCCCTGCTTATTTGTGATGGTGGTAACAGGCAGTGATGATGGTGGTGGTGATGAAGGTAATGGTGGTAATGAAGGTGGTGGTGATGGGGTGGTGGTAGGGATAGCAGTAAGGGGGTGGTGTGGTGGTGGTGATAGTGAAGGTGGGGGTAATGGTAGTGGTGATGGTAGTAATGGAAGTGGTGTTGATGGAGGTAATGAAGGCTGGATTCATTGAACACTTACTCTCTATATCAATTATTATGTTGAATGCTTTAGATAATCTCCTTAAATCTGGACAGACCTATGAGATATTAATAGCCCTATTTCACAGATGAAGGTACTGCGAGTTATTTAAGTAATTTGCCTAAGATTTGACAGCTAATATATGCCATTGTCAAGAGTTAGATTTCAGAGGCTGTACTCCAAACCCACATTAATATTGTTTCTCATCATTGCCATTAAATCAATTTCCTCCACAGGAATGGAAAAACCAATCTGTAAGCTGTTTAATACATAAACTTGCTACTGGGGTTTTAAAGAGCAAAGACTGTGTTATGTTTATCTTTATCTTCTGTCCAGCACTTAGCACTGTATCCTTCATTAAATAGTTGTTATATTTCTGATATTGCAGACAGAGGAAGTTCTTCAGTAAAAATTGAACTATTCAGACAATTAGTATTCAGATTAACTTTAGAGAATTCTTTCCTGAGCCTTCCTCCAGATTATCATTCCTGTTTTTTTTAATGCTTTCTGTTCCCATTTTATTTCTTTATTTTTAAATTTTACTTTAAGTTCTAGGATACATGTGCAGAATGTGAAGGTTTGTTACTTAGGTATACATGTGCCATGGTGGTTTGCTGCACCTATCAACCCATCATTTAGGTTTTAAGCACCACATGCATTAGGTATTTGTCATAATGCTCTCACTTCCCTTGCCCCCTACCCACGCACAGGCTTTGGTGTGTGTTGTTCCCTTTCTGTGTCCATGTGTTCTCATTGTTCAACTCCCACTTATGAGGAAGAACATGTGGTGTTTGGTTTTCAGTACCTGTATTGCTTTGCTGAGAATGATGGCTTCCAGCTTCATCTGTGCCCCTGCAAGGGAGGTGATCTCATTCTTTTTTATGGCTGCATAGTATTCTATTGTGCATATGTGCCACATTTTCTTTTCTAGTCTATCTTTGATGGACATTTGGGTTGGTTCCCAGTCTTTGCTATTGTGAACAGTGCTGCAATAAACATATGTGTGCATGTGTCTTTATAATAGAATGATTTGCAATTCTTTGGGTACATACCCAGTAATGGGATTGCCAAGTCAAATGGTATTTCTGGTTCTAGATCCTTGAGGAATTGCCACACTGTCTTCCACAATGGTTGAACTAATTTAAACTCCCATCAACAGTGTAAAAGCGTTCCTATTTCTCCACAGCCTTGCTAGCATTTATTGCTTCCTGACTTTTTAATAATTACCATTCTGACTGGCATGAGATGGTATCTCATTGTGGTTTTCACTTGCGTTTCTCTAATGATCATTGATGATTAGCACCACATCAAAAGGCTTATCCACCGTAAAAAGTCAGCTTCATCCCAGGGATGCAAGGCTGGTTCAACATATGCAAATTGATAAGTATAATCCCTCACAGAAACAGAACCAGTGACAAAAACCGCATGATTATTTCAGTAGATGCAGAAAAGACCTTTGATAAAATTCAATATCTCTTTCATGTTAAGAACTTTCAATAAACTAGGTATTGATGGGACATATCTCAAAATAATAAGAGCTATTTATGACAAATTCATAGCCAATATCATACTGAATGGGCAAAAGCTGGAAGGATTCCCTTTGAAAACTGGCACAAAACAAGGATGTCTTCTCTCACCACTCCTATTCAACATAGTATTGGAAGTTCTGGTCAGGGCAATCAGGCAAGGAAAAGAAATAAAGGGTATTCAATTAGGAAAAGAAGAAGTAATCAAATTGTCTCTATTTGCAGACGACCTGATTGTATATCTAGAAAACCCCATCAACTCAGCCCAAACACTAATTAAGCTGATAAGCAACTTCAGGAAAGTCTCAGGATACAAAATCAATGTACAAAAATCACAAGCATTCCTGTACACCAACAATAGACAAATAGCCAAATCATGAATGAACTCCCATTCAAAATTGCTATAAAAAGAATAAAATACCTGGGAATACAACTCACAAGAGATGTGAAGGACCTTTTCAAGGAGAACTACAAACCACTGATCAAAGAAATAAGAGAGGGCACAAACAAATGGAAAAACATTCCACGCTCATGAATAGGAAGAATCAATATCGTGAAAATGGCCATACTGTCCAAAGTAATTTATAGATTCAATGCTATCCCCATCAAGCTATCATTGACTTTCTTCATGGCATTAGAAAAAACTGCTTTGAATTTCATATGGAACCAAAAAAGAGCCCATGTAGCCAAGACAATCCTAAACAAAAAGAACAAAGCAGGAGGCATCATGCTACCTGACTTCAAACTATATTACAAGACTACAGTAACCAAAACAGCATGGTACTGGTACTAAAACAGATATATGGACCAATGGAACAGAACAGAGACCTCAGAAATAAAACCACATATCTACAACCATCTGATCTTTGACAAACCTGCCAAAAACAGGCAATGGGGAAAGGATTCCCTATTTAATAAATGGTGCTGGAAAACTGGCTAGCCATATGCAGAAAACTGAAATGGAACCCCTGTGTTACATGTTATACAAAAAGTAACTCAAGATGGATTAAAGACTTAAATGTAGGACCCCAAACCATAAAAACCCTAGAAGAAAACCTAGGCAATACCATTCAGGACATAGGCATGGGCAAAGACTTCATGACTAAAACATCAAAAGCAATTGCAACAAAAACCAAAATTGACAATTGAGATCTAATTAAAGTAAAGAGTTTCTGTATAGCAAAAGAAAGTAGCATCAGAGTGAACAGGCAATCTGCAGAATGGGAGAAAAATTTTGCAATTTACCCATTGACAAAGGTCTAATATCCAGAATCTAAAAGGAACTTGAACAAATTTATAAGGGAAAAACAACCCCATAAAAAAGTGGGCAAAGGATATGAACTGACACTTCTCAAAAGAAGGCATTTATATGATAAACATGTAATTCTCATAAGAAGAGAATTTCTGTGTGTATTATAATTAGGAATCATTCTTTTCCTGCTTGTCTGCTGGGCAAGGTAAATTGATTAATGCATATTAACTAAGAAAATAGGGACTTAGGAACTCACCAGTAGATGCATGGATTACAACACTGAGTTCTTCAATTCTATCAGGAGAAATTATAACTGGGTGAAAGACACCTTTAAATTTCACTTCAGGCCCTAAAGGATAAAACAAATCATAATAAGACTAGAATAAAGGGACTAACTGCCTTTTAAATTTGAAATTATTATTAAACTAATATCTTTAAATACATAAAAATTATGTATCTTTCTATTCATCTGTTTATTGCAAAATCACATACAGAGAGAATGGCTGGATAGATTTTCATTAAACTTGGAAGACTCTGGAATTGTCAACCTTGAAACTTGGTCCATATGGCATGCTCAGATTCTCTCTGGGAAGACTCTAAGGGCTCCTCAAGCTGAGCAAACACGGGATGCAACAGGAAGACCCTGTAGCTGCTGTTTAAGTAAAACATGTTATACCTATTGAGACACCCCGAGTGAGGAAACGAAGAGCAATTTCAAATTTGAGGCCCAGATCAATCCCCAAATGGAAAGACAGGACAGCTGTCACTGGAGCTACTGCTGCTGGTTTGCTATGGAGCAAGCCCCTTGGGTGCAACTCTGCACACTGCTCCAATGAGAGGCGAGAGGGATTTACTTAATACTAGTTAGAAAGTCTCTTGAGCAAGCTCAGGAAGTCTAGCCCAAAAGATTTAAAATGCTTTTTCAGACTGCTTTTCCTGAGAACACATGTATATGAAGTTTCCCTGCCCCTCTAGCCCCACCCTAAGCTCTTTTCCTCAATTTCCCTATAACAAGTCCCTGGGGTTCTACATACCCACAGAAGTGTTTCCCATAACAACAGGGGCCTGGGGATACTTGAATTTCAATTCCAGCAGTTCCTTCAGGGTCACGGGGGAAAACCACACCATTCTCTCACCGCCAAACACCCTGGTCCTTTGGGGCTGTTTCTCTGCCATTACCTATTGAAAAAGCAATTGGGATTCAAGGTATCCAATGGTGCCATCTCCACCTGTTTCCACTCAATCATTAGCATTGTAGAAACAGAAAGAGAAAATACATATCACTAAAATATAAAGTACAAAGTGACCTAAAAGTAGAGCTTTATAAGGAATCAGAGTTCAGAATAAAAGCACAACAGTTCTTTACTCCCAGGAAATGCTCAGTCTATCTCCCTTTGGTGTTCTTATGTCTCAGAGAACTTCATTTTAATGTTTGCAAATATAGTAACATGCTTAATCTTGTTAAATCATTCCATGGAGGAATAAACTTCAGCAAAAGTGGAAATAGGAAACATGTCTACACAGTGTGTGAACCCACACACTGATTTCATGATTTTGTAGATGCTATCTGCTGCTTCTTACAGTCAGTTCAGCTGTCCCCTCATGGTGACCCCACCCTCATTCCTCCCCTTCGTCCTCAGTCCATACTTTTTAGACCTTGAGATAAGGATGACAGAGAAGGCTTACCTATTTGCCAATCAGTTTTTGAGAGAATTCATAAACAAATACCCTTCCTGATATTTTACCATGAATTCTTCCAGGATGAACTCAACATTGCTTTACTTACCATTAGCTCAGGAGGAAATATCAGTTCCTGGGTTGGATCCAATGGCAGAAACTCCTCTTCTGTGAAGAGTTTTGGACTCGTCTTAAAAAGAGAACATATCAGAAGTTATTGTTATCAAGCAACTTTAAAGTCCTTTGTGGAATAAGGCCAAAAGATAGACACATGGTCAGATATAGCAAACCGACAAAAAAGTCTAGTGGCCAGCCATAATCCCTGAGCTCCAAACCAAGGGCTCTGACACAAACCTGGTCATCAACAACTCAGTGCTGGTGCCAATGTGCCTCTGGAGGCCTCAGCTCCCTGCACATTCTCTTTGGAGTCTGGGGACAGCAGAAGAGGAGGCAGCAGCAGCACACACAGCTGGAATAAGAACAGCTCCCTGAATCTCTCCTGTCTCTACTCACTCTACCTGTTCTTTCATTTCCATGACATCTCCACTTTACTTCTGGCCCTTGGAAGATAGCTTGAAAAATGCTTTTAAAAATTAAGAGACACTAAGGAACCAATGTGTCTTCCTTCCTGTAGATAATTGTATTTAAATGGGAATAATACCTGGAATGAGGACAAAATTGCTATGACAAAATTTTTTTTATAGAGATAGAATGAGAATGGAAGAGGGCACATGTTGACACACCTGAGATTACTCAACTTGGGTAGCCATTTATTTTTCCTAAGAGTATGTTGGCTCATGCTCATGTTCTGAGAAAGCCTTATAAAAGCTCTGCATTTCACTGACCTCACTTCCTTCCTCGAATTCTGGCAATCCATTGATTCCTTGATCTAAACAGCAAATCCCATTTTCTTTACTTTGACAGCAACCTGAAGTCTAGTGGACAAAAAACAGATCACTAGGAATTTATTGCTGATTCTACTAAGTAGTAAATAAAGCAGGTGAGTACCAGTTGAAACATAATGTTGAATCAATATTGTTAGATGCCATGAAAGAGAGCCATTTGTACTTAAGCATATCCAAACTAACTTTAATGAAAAACCAGAGCTGATAGGAAATTTTGAATAGCAGTGATTATTAAATAAGTTAAAAGACATAAATACCTTATAACTAAGCCTGGCACATAGAATTAAATACTAATAAAATATTAATAATGATGTTAGTATTTTTAGTATTTTAAATACTAATAAATATTAACAAGTATTATTACTGTCATCTCTGTTCTTATCTATGACATACTGAATTCATAGTTTAACATGCAAAGGGCAATCTCATACCCTTCATCACAACCTTGTTTGTTCATTTATTCATTCAACAAATATTGAGTATTCATTGCACCATATAGTTATTGAGAATTGCTGCTCAATGACTATATGGTGACTGGACTTGGAGACATACAGCCTCTGCTGTGAAGCAGCCCACAGTCTGGTGATGAGATGGGATAGCAAATGATCAGTTGTACCACATTGTGACCAAAGCTGTGATGGGATATGCAGATGCCCATCCCATGTTTGCAGAGGCCTATAGGAACACCAGAGCAGGGCACCTGACCCAAGCAAAGAGGCCAGGAAAGACCTCTTGGAAGCAATGACACACAGCCAATGTCAAAATGCTTGGGTGTTCATTATGTGACTACCAAGGCAAGCTCAATGAAGGAGGTTAAGTGTCCTGGTCAAGATCGAATAACAAACAGCAGCTAGAAACCTTGAGATAAGAAGTCACCATGTATTAGTAAGATGGCTGTCCCCCTAACCACTGACAACCCCTACCATTCTGTTTCATTGGGGAAAACATACTCAAATATGTGGTCCTTTCCACTTACTTTACAGAAAGTCTTGCATGCATCAATTATGGGCCTGTATCCAGTGCAACGGCACAGGTTACCTGAAGGAGAAAAATCCAGCTCTGTTAACCAAGTGACCCAGATAAAGGCACTCTCTACCAAGAGTGTGACAGAAGTAAAGATCTGATCACAGAGGAAAGCTCTGTTTGAGATTTTAGTCCACGTAATCTACAAAGTCAGATCTTTTCATCAGCAACTTGAGATATTTAATTAAGAATCTTGAGGCAGATTTTAACAGCTTAGGCATTTGTGCTTTCTCCTGTAAAGTTGTTATGCCTTCTGCTGGTGATAGGTGCTCAAACAACACAATGATTTCAAGTCAAAAACTTGCTCTACAATCACATTCAAGAGCTAAGCCTCATTTAAAAAAAAATTACTTATTTATTTATTTATTTCTAGACAGGGTTTCACTCTGTTACCCAGGCTGCAGGTACGGTGGTTCAATTTTGGCTCACTGCAACTTCTACCTCCTGAGATCAAGCAATTTTCCTGCCTCAGACTCCTGAGTAGCTAGGACTACAGGCACACACCACCAGGCCAGGCTAATTTTTGTATTTTTAGTAGAGATGGGGTTTCACCATGTCAGCCAGGCTGGTCTCAAATTCCTGACCTCAGGTGATCTGCCCACCTCGGCCTCCCAAAATGCTGGGATTACATGCATGAGCCACTGTGCCCAGCCAGCCTAATTTTTTTTTTAAACAACAAAATCCATTTTATGATGCTGTTATTGACATACAAGAAGCTGTGCAACTTGGTAAATTTGGAGATAAGTCTTACTTCCATGAAACCATCACAACAGTCAATGTTATAAACATATTTATTACCTTGAAGTTCCCTCCCACCATTTATTTATTTGTTCATTTATTTTGTGATTACTACAACATCTGCCCTTTTAGCAAATGCTTGAGTATACAATACAGTGTTTTAACTATAAGCATTATGCTGTACAGTATCTCTAGGACTCATTCATTTTGTATAACTGAAACTTTTTTTTTTTTGAGATGGAGTTTCGCTCATTACCCAGGCTGGAGTGCGATGGCGCGATCTCAGCTCACTGCAACCTCCGCCTCCTGGGTTCAGGCAATTCTCCTGCCTCAGCCTCCCGAGTAGCTGGGATTACAGGCACGCGCCACCATGCCCAGCTAATTTTTTGTATTTTTAGTAGAGACGAGGTTTCACCATGTTGACCAGGATGGTCTCGATCTCTTGACCTCGTGATCCACCTGCCTCGGCCTCCCAAAGTGCTGGGATTACAGACTTGAGCCACCGTGCTGGCCTGAAACTTTTTACCTTTGACCAATATCTCTTTGTTTTCTCCTTCCCCAAGCCCTGGTAATCACCATTCTGTTCTCTGCTTCTATGAGTCTGACTACTTTAGATTCCTTGCATAAAGGATCAGGTAGCATTTGCTCTTCTGTGCCTGGCTTATTTCACTCAGCATAATGTCCTCGAGTTTCATTCATGTTGTTGCAAATGGCAAGCTTTACTTCTTTTTCTAAAGAAAAAACCCCCTCATTCTTAACACTTACTGTGACAGTTACCAATTTATTGAAAAAAAAAAAAAGAGCACTCTAAGCTTCAGCTGATAGAAAGATCAAAGTCGTTATATAGCAGCTAAGGTAGTTATTAAACTGGGAAAGCAGCCGGGTGTATTTCTTTACAATAAATCATTAGGCCAGCGTTTCTCTCACAGTATGGTCCTGTGTTCCTCCTCCACCCCCAAATCTGAAGTCTGATTTAAAAAACAATAGGGGTGGATCCCAGGAATCTTTATTTCCCACAAATTCCCATGTATGATCTAAGTACCCTGAAATCTGAGAACCCCTTGCCACTTGTTTACATCATAAACAGCCATGAAATCAAATTCATGATAAGACCTAAAGGAAATCAGACAGAAGACAGTTTATGAGCAATGTTTCTCCTATGTCCATTTGTTCTGATTTTCCCTGGAACATTTTTACAGAGTAAGTGTACATATGAGCTTTAGGCTCATGTTCTCCAGCACAGAAATGAAGTCTTCAGGAGGCCTGAGACATAGACAAACAGAGCCATGAGAATTTCACCAGAAATAGGACTTGAGAGGTTACCATTTAAAAAACTTGTTTAGAATCTTGTTGATGTGGATATCCCCCTGCCACATACACACTGAGCTCCTGAACTTGACAAAATCACTTTAGAGTGGATAGAGACCGTTCTTTCCAATAAGTATCAAGTATCACCATAAGATCTCCATCTCTGATTTCATGGTGTATCCATCAGCAGCCCTCTGATGCTGAATATGGTCCTAAAAGCACCCACCCAGTAGGGAGATGGGTGAGGGAGCAGCATGTGGAGATAACAGGACTCTTCCCAAGGGCTGATGAATAACTGTCTTTTTAATGATTATGAAAACAAGCAAAAGATACTTCAGAAATACATCAGCCAAATGCAATGTGTGGGTCTGGTTTGAATCCTGATTTGAACAAACTGATTCTTCCACTTATTGGGGTGTAACTTTGAACAAATCACTCTCCCCAAACCTCAGTGTCTCCATTAATGAAAAGGGGAAAATAATAATACTATCTATCTTATAAAATTTTGTGAGGATTAAATGAGATAATCTTCAAATAGCATTTAATGCAGTGTGTGTCGCATGAATGGTATCCAGTATTAGCTGCTGTTATCATTATCATTGTCATTATTTAAAAATAAAAGCATGCAGGAGGCTGAGGCATGAGAATCCCTTGAACCCTGGAGGTGGAGGTTGCAGTGAGCCAAGATTGCACCACTGTACTCCAGCCTGGGCAAGAGTGACTCTGTATCAAAATAAAAATAAAAAGCATGCATATATAACCTACCACCAAGGGCATCAGTTAATTGATCCAGAGTGGGCTCTGGGTGGTTCCTGAGCAGGGTGTAGATGGACATCACCATCCCAGGTGTGCAGAAGCCACACTGGGTGCCGTGACACTTGGCGATCCTCTCCTGGAAGCACAGAAAGGTTAGGAATGCAGAATCTTGGGCCCCATCCCAGGCCTAGTGAATCAGAGCCTGCATTCCAGCAACATCCCCAGGTGGTTTGTCTGCATGCTAATGTTGCAGCAGAGGCCCCTGAAAACCCTTCTCATCCCAGGTGCCTCCCACCCCAGGGCTGGGTTGTTGTTAGGTTGGGCCTCATCTGCTTTCAAGCTTCACTTAAGGAAGTGGTTGCCAGTCTTCAGAATCACCAGGAGAGTGTTAAGATTTCAAGCCCCACACAGCACCACAAACCAACTGACAAGAGTCTCTGGGAATGGAGCACAGGCATACATCTTTTAAAGATGTGCAGTTGTGGCTGTGAATTACTGACATAAAGGAAGTCCTTCAGAGAAATAAAACAAATTACACTTGAGAAGTGAAACAAAAAGTAAAAATAAAAATAAAAATAAAACATAAAACGCTTTTATTTTTTTTATACCTTTCTCTCTCCCTAGCATTTTTGCTTTGGACTCTAACTTCTAAGATTGAAGTCGATTTTGGAAGTTGTCTTCAGGAAACATTGTAACAGTGGGAGTTCCATGTCAATTAGGAAATGAAAGGGTGTTGTATACCTGTGTGTGAGCAGGTGTCACATGGGCATCCAGGCAGAATTCTCTCCCTCTAGTTAATGATATTTCATAATGATCGAGGCAAAATTCTCTCCCTCTAGATAATGATCTTTCAAATAAACAGAATCCAAGATTCCTTCAAATCTAGAAAATTTGAATAGGCAATTTTCTATGTTGTTCCTATCTTTTCCTCATATGTGATCTTCATTAACTTCAATAAAAAATGAGTAGAAATGGCATTTTTTTTTTTAGATGGAGACTCACTCTGTCACCAGGCTGGAGTGCAGTGGCATGTCTTTGCTCATTGCAACCTCTGCCTCCCAGGTTCAAGCGATTTTCCTGCCTCAGCCTCCAGAGTAGCTGGGACTACAGGTGCACACCACCATACCCAACTAATTTTTATATTTTGGTAGAGACAGGATTTCACCATGTTTTTCAGGATGGTCTCTATCTCTTGACATCGTGATCAGCCCACCTCAGCCTCCCAAAGTGCTGGGATTACAGGCATGAGCCACTGTACCCGGCCTAGAAATGACATTTTTATGGGCAACATATACATCAAGAGTCAGGTGTCTGAAGATGCCTTTTCACTTGAGGCTAAAACTCGAACAAGGTGCTTCTTTAGGAGAAAAGCCAAAAAATTTTTTGACAACTCCTATCATCTGCCTTCCAAACAAGCTCTAAGTATAACAAAACTTTTTAGTAGCTGAGATTTTCACTAAGCCTTAAGATTATGTTATTTTCCACTTTGTTGAAAAAAACACAATAAAATTATATCCTTCAATGCACATGGCTCTTTTCTCTTTCTTCCTTCCTTCTTTCCCTTTCCCCTTCCTTCCTTCCCTCCCTCCCTCTCCTTCCTTCCTTCTTTCCTTCCTCCCTCCCTCTCCTTCCTTCTTTTCTTCTTCCTTCCTTCCTTCCCTCCTTTCCTTCTTCCTTTCCTCCTTCCCTCCTCTCTCTCTTTCTTTTTCTTTCTTTCTACAGGGTCTCACTCGGTCGCCCAGGCTGAAGTACAGGGTAAAATCATGGTTTACTGCAGCCTCAACCTCCCAGGCTCAAGTGATTATTTCACCTCAGCACCCCCAAGTAGCTAGGACTGCAGGTGCTCACCACCACGCCTGGCTAGTTTTTGTATTTTTTGTAGAGATGTGTTTCACCATGTTGTCTAAGCTGGTCTCGAACTCCTGGGCTCAAGCAATCTGCCTGCCTTGGCTTCCCAGAGTTGGGATTACAGGTGTGAGCCACTACACCTGGCTTTTGTTTCTTTATGAGTTTGAAAAACAGACAGATCTCATCTAATTAAAACACAGAAAACAAGCCCACAAATGTCAGGGTTTTCTTAGAGAAGAAAAATTTTTTAGTCTTCCAAAAGCATCTTTCCAAGAAGTTAGTCATGAACACTCACATATCCCAATATGCCAGCTTTGCTCTTATTCCCAGCTAGGCTGTATCTGTTAGAGTGGCCAAGCAGCAGGCCAGGCTGCTCCATTTTCTTAATTTTGGGGACTCAATGTCATGAGGTTTCTAAAGCACAGAAACTCCATAAGGAAGAGGCACATCCTCACCTGAACAGGATGAATTCTGGTGTGGGTGCTTCCTATGCCTTCTACTGTGGTGACAGCAGCACCATACAGAGAACAGATGGGAATCAGACAGGCATTGGCTGGGTGATGCCTTCAGAATGCAAAAGAAAAGCACAAACTACAAGTCACTTCACATCCAGTGGGAAAGGGGCCAGGCATTCACTGAGCTTCTCCACTGTGGCAGGTTTTTGTATAATGTCCCCAGGTTTTTGCACCAACATTGTGTCCTTAGCTCAGGCCCATTTTTTATAGAAGTGGAATCTGAGGCTCAGTGATTTACTCAGGGTCACATTTAGAATGTCAGAGGCAGGATTAAAATTAGGCCTCCTAATTCTAATTCCAGGGTCTCACTTGTCAAAAACTGTCAAAACTTTGATGGTTTTTCCTCTTGAGAATGTCCAATGAGGGGTTGACATTCTCTAGTCACAGGTAACCACCCAACTGTGGCAGGCCAGGTCTCCATTAGCAACCAGAGCAGTCAGCCTTCACCAACACCTCCCTGTCACTCTCTTGAATGTAGAAGGTAAACGTTAAAGAACTGGAGAAACTGGTGCCTTAGTACAAAAGTCAGAATGTAGAAACAAGGCATTAACACCCTGCCTGGGTTTCCTCAGAACTTAAGAGTTCCGTTAAACTAACAGAGACGTTCTTACACACCTTGTACACCTTGTACCAGGATCCACTTTAGACTAAGTAATTCTTCCAAGGCTCTGAAGTAATTGTCTAGACCCCAGGCCCTAGTTAAAGATTAGATAGAGTGAAACCCTTTGGCTTTCAGTTTGTAGGTACACTGAATGTATATAAGCACTAGAAAAAACCAGTAACTAGAATTGTTCTGGTGAGTTACTCTGACCTTCTCCCTGTAACTGGTTGCAGAAATAAACTCCTTTCTTTCCCAGTCTGTCTGCTTCTTGTTTTTAGACCACAGGAACAAGCTTCCAGACCTCATTCTTTCTGGGAACACACACACTTAGAGTTCATTCCATCTTCCAGGCAGATTCTGGGCCAGGGGTTGGTTGAGCAATAAAGTAAAAGTGATACCATGCCTCAGAAGAAGAAACAGGGTGTGGGATCCAGAACTCCTCAATCCCACAGGGTCACTGCTAGAAAACGTCCAGCTCACAATGACTCCTCAATGTTCTCATTCACCAAACAGAACTATGAATGTCCAATAAACACATGAAACAAGTATTCAAGCTTAAAAATCAAGAGAGACTCAAGCAATGAGAAACACGATTTTTGTCAAAAAATGATAAACATTTTTAATATTTGTAACATCTATTAGTAGCAATGGTTTGGGAAAATGAGACTCATACTGCTTGTGAGAATGGAAACTGAGTTCTCCCTAAGAACTGCTGAGAGACATTTCACAGGAAGACAAAAACAAACCTTTAAAATGCACACTCTCTTTTACACACTGCAATTCTACCTCTGTGGATACATCATAAGGAAATAATCACAGACATAAACATATCCGTAGGAGTGTTCATTGATGCATTGCTCATACCAGTAAAAACTAAAAATAATCTAAGTTAACAGTATTTGGAGGTTGGTTTTGGTACACCCAAAAGATGGAACATACATGGCCATGAATGAATTTATTGTTATGAATAAATATTAACGAGAAATTAACAAAATATACAGGCTTTTAAACAGTATGTACAGTATGCTTTAATATGTATATACACAAAAGAAAGATTCAAATGATATTACTCATTTATAAATAAGTGCAAATGTTTATTGAGTGCCTCCTATGTGCCAGGCAGAGTTCTACATGCTAAAATTCACTGGTGAACAAGATAGATAAAATCTCTGCCCTTGTAGAGTGCATATTCTAGTTGAAGGAAGTTAGCACATATGTATATGGACAATACCCACATATAAACATATTAACTGAAATGTTGAGAAGTGCTATGAATACATTAACATAGGCTAACACAATGGAGAGTTGTAAAGGTGAGATGGAGCACAGCTATTTAGTAGGTGATTAGGGAGGATTGAGAATGTAACTTTATAAAATCTGAATGATTTGAAGGGGCCAGACATGGAAGGCAGTGGGACAAAACACACTCAGGCCCTGAGGCAAGAATAAGTGTGGGATGTTTAAGTACAGAAAGAGGGATTTAAAAAAAAGTCTGGTGAGGCAGGAACATAGTGAATGCAAGGGGAGTGGTGTTACTAAGGGTTAGAGACCAGGTAGGTAATGGTAAGGCTTGAAAGTAAAGGCACGGAGTTTAAATACTGGTTCAAAGACAAGCGAGCTTTCAGTTTAGATGTAGAAAGTTGTAAGAGACTGTCACTGTCACTCTAAAAACCAAACTAAACCATATATGGAACATAACCACATATTTTTAAAACTCATCAGATGCAGAGTACATAGAGAAACTTTATGAGTAAAACTTAATAAATGAGCTAAACTCTGTTATGTGACAACCCCTTCATAAGAGAGAAGATACAACTGCTCTCATCCCTGAGTTAAAGTTATTCTCTTCCTGAAATTGAAGGAGGAAGAGGAACCTGCCTTAAACAGGAATAAGGAGAAACCAGACCAACTTTCAATAAACCTTGGATGGTTTCATGTGGGCTGATAACAACAGATGGAAATACAAAGCTGGACTGCATTATTTCCAGTCTCTTCCCTACCAGAGATCACTTAGTGCTGGGAGTAGTTCCCCAAAAATAGGCAGGGAAGGAGAGCTAAAATAAGCTCTTCAGGCATACTGGCCCTTAAACAAAGAAGGCTGGGGGAGAGATGGGATACCTGAGAGAAAACCCTATGTACTCATACTTCACAGAGTATAGAGTATTCACCACTCTCTACAGGCTAAAGACAGAGCAGCATGGCTGCCAGAGATTTCCCAAAGTATGGAAGGTGAGATAGGCAAGAAAAGAGAAATCCCCAGTGAACTTAAAAGCTGACAGCTAGGCTGTAAAGCAGGGAGGAATGTCTCAGAGTTCAGATAGCAGGTGGTTTGGTTGTGGAACACAGGCAGATAACTGAAACCTCACCAGTGCTCAGATCCTTAGCCTTCAACTGAGATCTGTGAAACGATGTAAAATGTTCTAACATAAGCATAATTGGAGTCCCAGAAGAACAGAGGGAAGAGTATGTGGCACAGAGTAAATATTTGAAGAGATAATGCTTGAGAAGTTTCCAGAGACATCAACACACAGATCCAAGAAACTTGGCAAACCTGAAGAAGGATAAATACCAAACATAAACAGATGTTAAACATAATGGGAAGCCATTGGTAGCTTTTATGTAGGAGAATGACTTGATCTGATGATAATTAAAGTAGACACTCTGGCTGCTGTATGGAGAATGCACTAGATGGGAACAAGGAGATAAGTTAGGAACTGGAAGAGTAATATATGAATGTGATGATGGCATTATTCTCCACTGCAATTTCAGCCTAGCCTTTCCTGACCAGACAGGGAGTCAGGCAGCCATTCAGCTTTTGACAGGGGATTTTTGTTTTTCTTAGACAAGGTTTTGCTATGTTGCCAAGGCTGGACACAAACTCAAGCAATACTCCTGACAGCCTCTCAAGTAGCTAGAAATGCATGCCACTGTGCCTGGCTTTGATGGAGAATTCTTTGACCATATGTTATCCTCACTGATAACATTTCTCTTCCAATACTTTCATATTCCTGGGATCACGTCTTTGTTGTTCATCATTGCACCCCTAGTGTCCAGTTCTTTTCACATGGTAGGTACTCAATATATAGTTATAAAATGAAGGAATATAACAAAGTTCAAAATTATAAAAACTCAACCATATCTGGAGTTTGCTACACGGTACCTTATTCTCTTGGTGATGGGATTATATCGTGATATCATCACTGTACATGCACCACAGCCTCCTCCTCCACAGCCATACTTGGTTCCTGTGAGTCGGACTGGAAGAGGCATAGTTAAAGATCACATGTGTTACATAATTCTTTCTAGAATAGCCCTGCCAATAGGAGACAGCAACATAAAAAACTCTTAAATGTACAGTTAAGTTCAATATTCATCAAATGATGTGTGTATGTCTTACTATTATAATATAGCAGCTATATTATATAATCTTGTAAATTCTTGATTTTTTGTGTATGGTATATCTTGTATCCTCCCTTTGAAAACAATTGGACCTCAGGTTGCCAAAAATAGGGCTGAACTGAAAAAAAAAAAGAGTCCATATATGGAAGGGCTTGAGTTTTTGAAGGTATGAATACATTGCACATTTATTCTCAACCTTATCTCTATCTTTAATGACACAAAGCAAAATGTCAAATTGTAGATAATTCTTGGAATATTTGTATCATGTTAGCCATGTTTGTGTATTTCTCTGTCTTTCAGTGGCAGATACTGCCATCTGTTCCCTAATATCTGTTCTCTCATTATTCCTTAGAAATAGAAACCCTGATTTTTAGCTACACACGGGGCTTCCCAGAGTAAAAAATATACTTTCCCAGCCTCCTCTGTAGCTAGGTGGGGTCAATAACATTGCTGGCTAATAGGATGTAATTATAAGTGTTGTTTACAACTTCCAGGAGAAGAGTGTTCTCAAAAGGAGAGAGGTACTTCTTTGCTCATTACTTCTTCCTATTTGCTGGAATTCAGATACTAGGGCTGGGCCTCCATTAGTCATCTCTGACTGTGGGGAGAAAGCTGCACACTGAGGAAGGTGCTGCTTGGTTCCTCAATGCTGTGACACTGCTTTACCAGCCCTGATCCTCCTATTTGTGGGCTTTCCTTATGTGAGTGTGATAGCCATGTAAACACACCTCATAGACCTCCCTCCAACATGGAGGGTAACTGATCAAGAGATCCTGTTGCTGCACTTTGATACTGATCACTCTGGTTTTCTTTAAGGCCATGCCTCCCATGGACTGCTCTTTAACAATGGCTTAGTGCCAGGGAGAGATGTGAAGTCCTTGTCAACCATCCCAGTGGTTCTGAAGAATATGCTTCACACAAACCAGCAGTCTAGGGACCTTCCACTCAATCTTACCTCCAGGGTCAGACTTGCATGGTGATCAAATGGCTCCCTAAGCCTGCTCTGACTCCCTCCCTACTTCCTTTCCCACAGGCACTTCTAATAAAATCCTGGCACATTTAATCCCATTTTTGGCGTCCACAATCCTGAAGAATCTGAACTAACACAGTGAAAAAGAAAGAAAACTTCTACCTTCTATCCTGTTTACCATGAGGTGGGATTTTCTGTCACTCATGGTGAACCAAACTTTAAATATTCCACATAGGTATTGTGGATAATCAGGAAGTAATGTTCATTGTTTTTTATGTCTAAATATCTTGACTGACTTTAATGAGCATGTTTCAGAAACATATTCATGTGTCTAAAAAATAATTACTGATGATTTGGAGTTGTGTACTCTTTTGGTAATTTTACCCTTTCCAGGGGAAAAATGTACACACCCCATTGAAACATAATTTTGCATATAATTCAGTAGTGTCTACTACCCTCTGGTAGCCTCCTGGAGTTCATGCTAAAAATCCATTCCCTAGATGGCTTTTATTTAGAAAGTTTTTCTAGGATAACACTTTCAGGTTTAGTTTTTCCATTTTTCTTTTACTTTCATTTTAGGTGACTTCTGTGCTCTCTTTTTCTACTGGGCATAATAATTAGTTATTAAGGACAGAATATAAATATTGTGACTCTTAGTTCTAAAGGATGCTTAATTAGGTCCTTTTTAAAGTTTCCATTGCTAGTTTCTCTATTTTATACAGAGACTAGAAAAAAATTGGTTCTTCTGACAGACAAATTTGTGCACTGCCTATAAAACTAAACGATAGGGCTTTCTCAAAGATGGGCATAAAACCATAATAGTAGAGAATATGTCTCAGTGTCTATAAATGTATGTTTGAAATATCATTTAATAAGGAAATATCATTTAACGAGTCATACAAATACACACATGCATATACACTCAAAGTAAAGAAAAGGATACGCTTCTTCCTCAGATAAGGCAACAGCATTGTCTCAGGATCAACATTTTTTTCTGTCACCTATACCAAAGAGAATATAAGAGTTACCCACGCAAAGTTGAGAGAGCTGATATGAAATTCACATTGGCAGGATCACACCAATTTGAAGGAAATTCATGTTAATTAGCTATTCTGCTCATATATTCAAGTAGATTTCAGCTTTATGGAACACCTGTGATATAGGAACCACTTCTCTTAGGTGTAATCTTGAGCCCCACCACGATCATGCTACTGTCCTTGGTCTTGAATCATCGCCATTCTCTGAGGCATTTGTTGTTTCCACTAACAGGGACACTAGCTCCTGTCCAGTTTTTTTTCTAGAAAGTCTAAAGCAAGTGAGAGTAAAGATATTAGTAGAACAGTTCAGACTAGAGAGATAGAGAGAGGGGTGGATGAAATAAGAAAGGAAAGGAGGGAGGAGAATTGCTGGAATAGCATAGCCTCTGAGAAACGGACATAGTTAATTTTTAAAATACTTGTTTATCTTGTTCAAATAATTCTGGTTTCCAGTAAAAGACAACCAGCCATGGCTCCAATCAAATAAACACAGAGGAAGATAAAATATGTATACTAAGAGATGCAAAGCTGCACAGCAAAGACACGCTTAGGCAAGTTCATGGGAGCAGCCTGGCAGCAAAGCAGTGGAACAGCAGGCTGTCTTTTCCCAAGGATGACGTAAAAATGTCATGATTGTGTTTTCCAAAGTGATTGTTTTCTATTTTTCTCACTAAAAATTTGACACTTCTTTTAGATTCACGGAACACATAGAAGCATGACTTGCTTTGCCATTCCAGAAGCTGAACTTGTCTTTCACCATATTATAGTAATTTTCCCTTCTGGGAAGTAGGTGAGAAGTGGACAAATGCTTATTCTAGGGCTGCTGCCTCATCTTCAATCTAAGAGGCCATATGCCATGCAAGGTGAGGGCTATGCCAATTGCCAAGGTCAGATCCATGCCCTAGAGGAGTCTGCAACATAGAAAGATTGGGGTGTGTGTGTGTGAAAAGAAAAAATATGGAGTACCTCTTAGGTATCTTCAACTTAATTGGCTCCCAAATGTAACTCTTTATTTTCCAAACTTACTTACTACTCACTTCTTTTCCCTAACCCGTTTAATGGCTTCAGCATCTGCTAGGTCATCTAAGCTGGGAGAAAAAAAAAAAAAAGCTATTTTCAATTTTTTTTTTTCTTTTCCAATCCACCACAATCAGTGTCACCGAGTTCTTCCACTTGGGCTTCCAATGATACTCTAGACTCCTTTCTCTTCCACTGTCACTACCCATGAGCCCATATCAACTATTGTCTGAATGATTATTAAGACCTGCCTAACAGGTCTCCCTGCCTCCACTCTTGATATTGCAATATCGTCCTCTAAACCACGACCAGAGTGACTGCTGTAAAACTCAAGCCTGATTATCTCATGTATATGCCTAAATTTAACGTGGCTCCTGGCTGCCAAACTGCCATGCTGGGAATTCCTGAATCATGGGGATGCTTGTTAAAATGAAACCTCTATGGTATCAGGAGTTCTAGTAGAGGGAACCAGAAAATGTACTTTTTAAATAGGTACACTGAGTGGATCTTAGGTGAATTAATAGCCAACCATTTCCAGAATATAAGAAGAAACTTGAATTCAGGCTTCATGGATGAAGTGGCTAGTCACAAGGGTGCATGGACTTTTTTTTTTTTTTGCATGCAGTGGAGATAAAGGTGCTACTGTCCTTGGTTCTGAATTATCTCTGTTCTGAAAATCCTTCCTCACTTCTTGGCAGAATTTTGTATGTCATTCTCCACCCTGCTCAAATGTTCTCTATGGAGAGTGTTGCCACATAAAATACCCTTCCCCATCTCCAAGTAACCACCCTCCTCTTTGTTCCCATGGCTGATGTCTTCACCTCTTCTTTTATGACATTTTTTACACTATATCATAATTATTTGTGTATGTACAAGACTATCTTGATCCTGAGAGAAGCCATCTTCTGCTATTCTTATGTCAAACACTGAGCTTGGTGGTAGGGATATATCAGAGGATGTAATAAATGTTAATTAAATGAATAACTAGAACATGATATGTATGATTTGGTATGAGATACCAAGAAGGAATAATTTCTCACAGACTTGGGCATCTGAACAGATGATAAAAAAGAAAAACCCAGAAGTTATTGATGGCAGAAACTATAAGTTGTCTATCCTGGCATGCATTCTTCTTTCCTTCCTTCCTGCCACTTGGAATAGGGATGAAATGGCTATAACCCCAGAGGTCATCTTAGACCATGAGGCAACATGCTAATGGCAGCAGAGAAAAAAAAAAAGAGAAGAAACCTGGGTCTCAGATAACACCATAAAACTTCTGGCCCAGCCTTACAATGTCTGTTCCTAGATATGATGGTAAACCATAGAAGCCCAGTTTGAATAGATGGACAGAGTCTGGATAGCCGAGTTAGTACCTAGTTAATAGAGAATAACATTTTAGGCTTGAGGAATATTTCTATATTTGAGGAAGGAATTCATGGAAGAAGGTCAGGCTTGATTGGGTATTTGTTCCAGGAAATATTTCAAGGGATTGGAATCTGGCTCAAAGTCCCACTGGTTTGAAATTTGTTTTTGTTGTTTTGATGTAGTGGGTGTTTGTATTTGGAGGAAGTGGGGGCAGGGATCTAGCATGCATCTTGTCCTGGCAGCTCTGGGAATGAAACAGGGAGGTTAGAACTCAGATAGAGACTAGGATGTATAGTGGGGCTGGGTAACAGTTACTCTGGTTGACTCTGGATTGGAAAGATGTTGCCAGTTCACAGGTCAGGGTCATTGCGTGTACTCATCTCAGCATAGCCTTGAATGTTGCAAGGGTGGAATCTGTCCCTCTGTATCACTGCCAGCCCTTTTTAACCCAATGTAACCAAGTCCAAGTTTACATTGTACTCGGTTAAGACATCGGTTTCCTCTGTGTACTGCCAGTGACTAGTGCCTGAGGAGGCCCTGCCAGATCCAAGACAGAGTTGGAAAGAGAAAGGAAGAGAGAGATAAGAGGGGAGAGAGTAGAAAATAAGGAAGAGGTAGAAGTGCATGTGAAAGGACAAGACTGAGAGGTAGAAGAAGAGGAAAGAAAGGGGTGCATGCTATGAGACGCAGTTAGTGGAAAAGAACAATAATCCACAACAGTCTCAGAGGAGAGAAAGAGGCCTCAGGAGACAGCCATAGGACACATCTTCCTGAGCTTTAGATTGCTTTAAAATTCATTTTGCTTGTTACTTCTTTCTGCCTAAGCTGCCTCCATCTTCTCCTCTTTTCTCTGAATCATTACAGCCATTCCAGAAGCCCAGAAATTTCCTCTCTCGGCCTTGTAAACCAAGAACCTTAGAGAATGCTAGCCAATAAACAGCTCTTTTCAGATTCCCACACCAACACCAAAAGTGTACATTTATTGCACAAATAATGCAAGATGACTGCTAAGAAGCAGTCATCTTGACACTTCCAAGCAGGTTCTAGCTCTACTAATGAAGCAGATAATTTTCTAGTCCAGATAGTAACAATTGTTTCCACATATCAAGTGTTTACTGTGTACATGCACCTTGCTAACCACTTTCCATGCCACTTAATAACCCTCAATTTCAGGGGAAAAGGTTCTGTTATCAGCTCCATTTTGCAAAGGAGAAAACGGAAGCTCAGCGATATTAAGTACCTTGCCTGAGGCCCCAGAGCTGCCAAGTGGCAGAGCAGATACCACAGGATTCAAACCCATGCCTGACTAGTCCCAAGGCCCATACCTTTGATTTCCATACCTCATTGCCTCATGAAATAATATGCTTCAGTTCCTAAGTTGAGGTTGGAATGTGGCATCTATGGCATAATTTATTCACAGGCTCTTGTTCCCTAAAACTCCATGTTAAATGGGTCATCTGTTCTTCTGGGGGCCCTGGTAGAGTGAATAAGATTACAGAAATCTCTCTCTGTAATACCATCTGCCTGATGACAACTTTTGGTGACCTGAGAAAATTTAGCACAAAGCAGAATAAAAGCCAATCATGATACCTACTGTCTCCTAAGTGGCTTCACTTCTAAGCTTTTTCGAAGGTGCGTTTTTAATTCCAGAGATTGCATTTGAAATCAAAAGCCCTATTCTATGGTAGGTTTTCTCTCTCACACTCTTCTCAACAGTCCCGTACTCTCTGAAACCAACAAGTTCATGCTAGGCTGGGTACAGTGGCTCACACTTGTAATCCTAGCACTTTGGGAGGCCAAGGCAGGCAGATCACCTGAGGTCAGGAGTTTGAGACCAGCCTGGCCAACATGGTGAAACCCCATCTCTACTAAAAATACAAAAATTAGCCAGTTGTGGTGGCTCAAGCCTGTAGTCCCAGCCACTCAGGAGGCTAAGGCATAAGAATAGCTTGAACCCAGGAGGTGGAGGTTGCAGTGAGCTGAGATCATGCCACTGCACTTCAGCCTGGGTAACAGTGAGACTCGATATCAAAAAAAAAAAAAAAAAAAAAGAAAGAAAGAAAGAAAAAAGTTTATTGTAGTTCTTCCCATGTAAGTAATCAGGCTTGTTTACCAGTACTAAAGCACACATCTAACAGAATTTAGAAGGGAGGAAAAGGAAAGGGAAAGGTTAACAATTTCTTTGATGGGTAATTGCAAAAACAGAATCAATATCTCCATAGTATACTTTACAAATAACCACAGGACATTTGGTCCATAGACAGAGTGAGCCCATAGATAAGAACTAGCTTACCTAATTTAAAAAATCAATAGACCACAAATTGTTCTTGGCCATGGATGTTAAAAATCCCAATATTTGTTTGGAAGTAGGGGAAGGAGAAGCAAGGAGATGTTAGACTCAAAACCCATTTCCTCATTTAACACAAACCCTTACCATCACCTATACAGCCCTAGTAATGTGGACCCTGGCCATGTTGCCAACTCCACCAACCTACCTCTGAGCACACAGAAATCCTTCCACCTCAGGACCTTTGCACCTGCCATGCCCACCCTGGATGCTCTTTCCCCAGATGTTTGCATGGCTTGCTCCTCACTGCATCCCAGTCACTGCTCAAATGCCACCCTTCCAGAAAGCCCAAAACATCCATCCCATCTAAGTATCCTGCACATTTTCTGTCCCCCTGCTGTGCTTTATTTTTTATATTAGCACTTCTCACTTCCTGACATTACACAATTCCATATTTATATTCTTGCTATCCCCCCAGCACAATTTAAACTCCATGCACGCAGGGACTTATTTCTGTGCTCTGCTGTATCTCATAAGCCTGGAACACTGCCTGATATATGGTAGGCCCTTAACAAATAAATGGATTGAATGCTCATGATCACTCTCTATGAAGTAAGTAGCACATTCTCTTAACAGAGGAACTGAGCCTCTGGGAGGTTAGGTTTTCTCAATTAGAATTAGAACTGGAATTGAAGACTTGTTTGAACAACAAAGCCAGTGCTCTGTTTACTCTACCATTCCATTATGCAGAAGAAGAAAAAACAACATAATGTCAATCACCTCACTCCATTGTCATATTTCACCCTCACAGCAGTCGTGTGAGGGGGTCCTAATGACCGCCCCCTACAGATCAGGACAAACAAGTTAGCTCATTTTGTCCAATATGGAACCCAGGCGGCAGGGGCAAAGTTTTTGAGGGGCCCAATGTACAATTTGGGGGATCCTCTTTAAGAAACATAATACAAAACCACAAATGAAATTAGGCTGAGGGCCTTAGAGCAGGCCTCACAACTAGGGTCTGATGCTTCACCCTGTTTAGCTTCCAGGGGAGGCAGCTCTTGCTGGTCAGGAAAAGTGTTGTGGCTGCCCTTAGCCAGAGGCAGGGGCCACAGGTGGCTCTGAATGAACCAGCACCAACACGAGCACCAGGGAAAGCAGGTGCCACTGGTCTTGCTTGGTTAGCTCTGTTTATTTTGTTTTTAAGAGACAGGATCTTGCTCTTTTGTTCAGGCTAGAGTGCAGTGGTGTGATCACAGCTCACTAACCTGGAACGCTTAGACTCAAGTGATCCCCCCGCCTTCAGAAGTAGCTGGGACTACAGTCGTCCACCACCACACCTGGTTATTTTTTATTTTTTGTAGATAGCGTTTTGCCATGTTGCCCAGGCTAAACTCGAATTCCTGGGCTCAAGCAATCCTTCTACCTCGGTCTCCCAAAGTGCTGATTTCAGGCATAAGCCACACTCTTAGGGAAGCTCCTTAACCTTCCTGCCTCAGTTCCCTCCTTCAAAGTGGTGTCATTAAAACTGGGACAACATTAAGAGTGAGCAGAGTTGATGCTCACATTCAGGGGGATGTCTTGAGAGATGCGCACGGGGCTTTGCTGCCCCCAAACATCGGACACTGCCTGGAACTGTCCCTTGGGTTGCCAGAGTGAGCCCAGCTTCTGAGGGGACAGAGCCCAACCCAGCAGTGGATCCTGTGAGGACCTTGGAGCCCCGAGAGCCTGACTTGTGTTCAGCTCCGCCAGGAACTAGCTGTGACTTTGGAAAGTGACGATTTCTTCATCTGAGAAACAATGGTTTGAATGTATTAGTCTCTGCCGTCCTGTCCCGACTCTAAGTTGCTCTCTGCGCTTCCAAACGCACCCGGCGAGCTGAGGCTCAGCCATCTCCGTAGGCTGCTCTCAAAAGTACTGGGGGACGTTCCCGTTATCGGCTGGAATTGAGGGAGGGAAGGTTTGGGAGTGCTGACCTTGATGGGCAAGAATACTTTTTTCCTGTTTAGGGAGGGCGTGTGGTTGGTAATCAGGCTGTGAACCTCACAAGGAGAGGAAAGGGGAACATGAGGAAGGTGGGGCCCAAAGATCCAGAGCAGTCCCTGAAAACGCAGCCTTCACCTGCCCGGGAGGCAGGGGTGAGAACACGAAGGCAAAGCCGCTGTTAAAGGAGAAAGCCAGGTCCGTGCCTGAGTGCCTTAAGCGGCAGGCACGAAAGGATGGGACGAACGGCAGGGGATCCTCTCTGCCTCGACCCGGGCTGCGGGTCTGGTCGCAGAGGCAGCCCGCAGGCGCTCACCTTGCGGCCGTTAACGTAGAAGAGCAGCTCCGGCGTCCGGTCCATGGTGGCCGCCGCGCGAGTCCGAGAGTCCGGAGCTAGAGATGGAGGCGGCTCTGGGAAGTCGCGGGCAACTGGGACCGGGCAGCACCGACCCGCCGAGTGGGGCGGGGCTTACTGGAGGCCAACTCACCCACCCCGACCGAGAAACCCTTGATAAAGATCCAACGTTCCTGAGCTCTTTGCCAGGAAAACTCTTCCCAGGGACAACAGCACGTGTGTGGGCGTCACTGGCGCTCTCTGTGTTGGCGGAAATCATCTGGCTAAGATGAAGACGACCCCTGCATTAGGGGTACAGAGTGCTGTAAATATAGTCAACAGTTCTAGTGAAGGATGGATAGTAGTTTTATTCAAAGAATCCCAGTTGAATGAAGAAGAAATGCTAGAATTAGAAAAAAATTGCAATCCCACATTAAAACTACTGTTCAGACAATGCTCAACAATGGATATAAAATAACCAGGTGAAATATTGGAGAAATTCATTACAAGGGATAACCTTTGAACCCACTGTTCAATGTCAGCATCCTTATGAATGAAACAAGGAGATGAAATGAGGAGATAAAGGATCTCCTCGCCAGTGGCGCTTAGCGTCTGTGTAACGTTAATTCTCTTGCGTCTCAGCAAACATTCTAAGTCCTGTGACATTGCTTTGGATGGTCTTATGTTATTGCATATTTTAGGTGATGTTCCAGCTAGATTTAAGTCTGGGAACAGTAGTACGTCCCCTCCAACCAGGCCTGTTGTAGTCCTGAACTCTTAAGTGTAAACAATCATATTTATTCCATCTCTGCTGGAGCAGATCTTAAGGACAACAAATAGGTTTACAACTTTAAGAAATATAAGGTTGGTGCAAAAGTAATTGCGGTTTTTACCAATACCTTCAATGGCAAGAACTGCAATTACTTTTGCACCAACCTAATAATTACTCATTTTAAAACAGAAATATCTTGAGATAAACTTAAAAGTTTTATCACTATTTACAGTTTATCCAGTAACTAACAACAAAGTTTATCTGGTAAATAAGAACAGAGATGTAAAACATATCGGAAAACTTTTAAAAAATAATAAAACTTGGAAAATACAGCAAAGCATAAAAATAAAGATTACCTATAAGCCCACAATTTAGAACTTTCCATTGTTCACTTTTTAGCCTATCCTTATTTTTTGAAATATGCACTGTAACACCTTTAAAAACTTAAGTAGGATTAAACTATTTTTCAGACTTCCTATCACTTGACATACCTTAGAACATTTTCCTGTTATTTCATTTATGTAAACACAAAAATTTTATTGTGAAATTTTCCAAAATTTGTACATAAAAGTGAAGAGTGCAACTGGCTTCTGTCTGCCCCTCACTGAGCTTTAACAATGGTCAACATTTTGCCATACTCCATTTTTTGGTAGTATTTAAAAGCAAATCCTGGACATATTTTAGCCCTAAATACTTCAAAAACACACATACATATTTTTTTTAGTCAGCTGCAATGCCATTTCTTAGGATCTAAACGTCTTTTTTTTTTTTTTTTTTTTTTTTTTGAGACACAGTCTCGCTCTATTGCAAGGCGCCAGGCTTCAGTGCAGTGGCGCAATCTCGGCTCACTGCAACCCCCGCCTCCCGGGTTTCAAGCAATTCTCTTGCCTCACCCTCCCCAGTAGCTGGGACTACAGTCATGTGCCACCATGCCCAGCTAATTTTTGTATTTTTATTTATTTATTTATTTATTTTTTGAGACAGAGTTTCGCTCTTGTTACCCAGGCTGGAGTGCAATGACACACTCTCGGCTCACCGCAACCTCCGCCTCATGGGTTCAAGCAATTCTCCTGCCTCAGCCTCCCGAGTAGCTGGGACTACAGGCGCGCACCACATTGCCCAGCTAATTTTTGTATTTTAGTAAAGACAGGGTTTCACCATGATGGCCAGGATGGTCTCAATCTCTTGACCTTATGATCCACCTGCCTCAGCCTCCCAAAGTGTTGGGATTACAGGCATGAGCCACCGCCCCTGGCCTAAAAAAGTCTTTTACACTTGACTTCTTTGAATCAAACAAGAGCTGTGCAATATATTTGCATGTGGTCTTATCAGTCTTCTTTGATCTAAAATAGACTTTTTAACACTGTTAACATGTTGAAAAAGAAACCAGGTCAGTTGTCCTGTTGATATGAACCACTTTTTCAGTGTGGGTAATTGCTTCCCTGCAGTTATTTTTCTACCTTATTTATTTCTTATACACTAAATATTAGATCTAAAGCTTTAAGTTCAGGTTCAATTTTTTTGGGGGGAGAGAACACTTCATAGGTGATACCATATACTTAATACTGCAGCACAGCAGGAAGCATATGGTGTCTGGCTGTTTCAGTCATAATGATGCTGACATTGAACAGTGGGTTCAAAGGGTTATCCCTTCATAATGAATGTCGCCATCAACATTTCACCTAATTGCTTTACATCCATTGTTGAGCATTGTCTGAGCAGTAGTTTTAGTAAGGGGTTGCAATTTTTCTAATTTTTAGCATTTCTTCTTTATTCATCAACTGGGATTCTTTGAATAAAACCATCCATCTTTCACTAGAGCTATTGACTATACCCCTACAGCACTCTCTGCCCCTACTGCAGTCTCTCAAAGTGTGGTACTAGGACAATCCTTGGACAGACTTACCTGATGCTTTTGATTAAGATGCAGATTTCTGAGCTCACCCCTTTAGTGGTCAGATATTGTCTAAAAAAGTTTTCCATCTAGGTAGAATAGAGTTTGAGTAGTCATTTGAATCCAATAAGCTGTGTATTGATCTCAGATATGAACAGGATTTATTACTTCTTATTATTGGAAGACTAAGTGGTCTTTGAAACAAAGTTATAAAAACCAAATTCGAAAGAGTCTGAAAGGTTAATCTCCTCCTCTAAGTCACAGATTACATATAATAGAACTAATACAGAAGCTGACATTCAACACGTATTACTGAAAATTAGAAGAATGAAGTGAGAGAGAAAACAGGCCAGGGCAGAAGGTGGCTTTTAAACCCTTTTAGATGTCCACATGTATTGAACAGGTTAAAAACACAGCAAAGGTAAATAGGGGAGGGCTCAAGATGGCGCTGTGAGAACAACCCAGGATTGAAGCTCTTGGTTAATGCGCGGACAGGGTAAGTCAGGGCCACATTTCCAGACGGATCTTTGTTGCCCATAGAACGGGGAAATTCCCAGGTATAAAAGAGACGTGGGACGCCAGGCAGAGGTTTTGGCTGGTGCAGCCGGCAGCTGGCAGCGGGTACGGCGGCAGCCCGGGCTGTAGCACAGCCGCGCTACACAGCACTCTGCACAAAGCACACTGGTCCGGGGGCCCTGTTGAACCGGCAACCTGAGACTTGAGAGGGCTGAACTTGAGACTGAACGGGACTTGGACAGTGAGCCAGCCCAGGAGATTCCAGGGACACAGCGTTTGGGGTAGCACAGTGGGACAAACAAAACGGAGATTCCAAACGCTCCCGGTGGGGAAATTCCCTGAGGGTGCAGCTCCGTGTGGGAGGGGCGTCCACCATTACCGAGGCAATCCGCCCCTACTGAGGTACACATCCATTGCTGACGCAGCCTGCCGTTGCTGAGGCAACCCGCTACAACAGAAAGACTCCGCTGCAGGGCGTAGCCCGTGGCAGCAAGGCGGAGACCGCAGCAGAAGGGCAGAGCCTGCAGCAACAGGGCGAACCTCACACCAGCAGGGCGGAGCCGTGGCAGGCAAATAGTGACTAGACTGCCTCCTAGCTGGGCAGGACAGCACAACGGACACTGAAAAATAAAGCCCCGACCCGCCCAGACGGAGCATCTGAGAAAAAAAGGGTTTTTTAAAATGAGTTCTGTTGCAGCAGAATTAAACATAGCAGCCTAACAGCCCTGAATGAACAACAGAGCTCACAGCTCAGCAATGGAGCTCCTATAAAGTACAGACTGTCTCCTCAAGCAGCTCCCTGACCCCTCTATATCAAAAAGACTGACATTTGGCAGGCATCATTCTGGGACAAAGATAGCAGAAAAAAGACTGGTAGCATCCCTCACTGTTCCGCAGCTGCTATAGGTGCACCCCAGACAAGCAGGGCCTGGAGTGGACCTCAGCAGTACAGTGGAGGGGCTAGACTGGTAGAAGGAAAACCAAGTAACAGAAATACTTCATCATCAACAATCTGGGCGTCCACTCAGAGACCCAGTCAAAAAGTCAGCAACTACACAGACGACAGGTGGATAAATCCACAAAGATGGGAAGAAACCAGCACAAAAAGGAGGAAAACACCCGAAACCAGAACACCTCGCCTCCTAGAAAAGACCAAAACTCCTCACCAGCAAGGGAACAAAGCTGGATGGAGAATGACTGTGACAAAATGACAGAATTAGACTTCAGAAGGTGGATAATGAGAAACTTTTGTGAGCTAAAAGAACATGTTTTAAATCAATGCAAAGAAACTAAGACACAACATGCCAGAATCTCTGGGACACATTTAAAGCAGTCTCTAGAGGAAAGTATATAGCAATAAGTGCCCATATGAGGAGAATGGAGAGATCCAAAATTGACACCCTATCGTCAAAATTGAAAGAGCTACAGGAGCAAGATCAAAAAAACTCAAAACCTAGCAGAAGACAAGAAATAACTAAGATCAGAGCAGAACTGAAGGAGATTGAGACATGAAAAACCCTTCAAAAAATCAATAAATCCAAGAGCTGGTTTTTTGAAAAGATCAACAAAATAGACAGACCACTAGCCAGATTGATTAAAAATAAAAGAGAGAACAACGAAATAGATGCAATAAAAAACGATAAAGGTAAAATCACCACAGATTCCACAGAAATTCAAACCATCTTCAGAGAAAATTACAAACAACTCTATGCACATAAAGTAGTAAACCTGAAAGAAATGGATAAATTCCTGGACTCCTGTGTCCTCCCAAGCCTAAACCAGGAGGAAGCTGAAACTATGAATAGACCAATAACAAGGTCAGAAGTCGAGGCAGCAATTAAGAGC